TTGTACAAGCGAGTAGGGTGCGTGTGGACGAAGGTCATGCTTGCGTTAGACATAATAGGTCGTACGCAGGTCTTATATAATAATAATTTGTGCCTTAAGGGCATTTTTTTTTTATTGCGAACGATAATAATGTGCGTAGTAAATGACATACGCAAGTCGAAAGTGACTCCTAAGTATTTGACCTTTTTCTCCCAGGGGAGCGTTTGGCCATAAAGGGATATTTGCCCCCAACTTTCTGCATTGACGAGGGCCATTATAAAGATGTGACGGGTAAGTACTTCGTGTGAAGTGAATCGCCACACTCTTTTCGGGATTTATTTCTATTCTCCATTTGCGAAAAAACCAATCGCTGAGGCGGTAGGCAGCGCTTTGGAGTCGAGTGGTTAGTTGTCTAAGGTTGCGGTCTGAATAAAAGAGCGCCGTGTCATCCGCGAAAAGCGCGAGATTGACGTGGGGGTCTTTAGGTATATCGCTCGTGTAGAGCGTAAAGAGCAAAGGTGAGAGGCAGGAGCCTTGTGGTACGCCGGCGGTGAGGCAGCGGCTTGTGGAGAGGGTGCTTTCAACTCGATGTAGAAAAGAGCGGTTCGACAGGAAGGCCCGGATGGTCCCAGGAGAGTCAGTGGTTTGGCCGTCCTGCTTATCGGCAGTGCTGCCATATGAAGAAAAAAATATGAACTAAGCCTTTAGCAAAATTACGCTATATTATACGAAAATATGGATGCTAACTTAGGAGTTTTTTTTTGTAAATATACACAGTAAATATTTTTAATAGAAATTATTTAGGAAGTTTTTTTTTAGAAATATTTTTAGGAATTAAATTTTATTCACAGGTTTGAAAATAATCTACACAAGACTAGGTACTTTATTATAGACAAAAAGAAAACGTGTGCATCCCGGGACGCCCGACTGATGTGATAACTTAAACTAAGCTCAAAAACTATTTTACTTTGAAATAGTTTAACTTGATAAAAGCTTTTGTTATTATTTAAATTTTATGCATATTAGTATGATAATGTGAGGAAAGGTTATTTATTAATAAAACCTTTTATCTAACATAAAGAAAAACTCGCTATTTTCTTTTTTTTTTCAAAACGACACATAAATCCATAATTATTACAACAACAACACTGACACTATTGAGAAACGATGGACGGCTTGCAGGCAAGGGCGGATCCAGCTTTGGTGCCAGGGTCATGTAGTCGTGGTCAAGTGATAAAAAGTCGTAATTAAATTTTTATAATCATAGATACAAGTAAAAAGTAGGTACTTATTTTTAACCGACTTCAAAAAGAAGGAGGTTATCAATTCGGATTTATATTTTTTATGTAGGTATTTATGTTAATGACGGGCATACCTTCGTCATAATATATAGACGGATTTGCAAAGTTCTTTTATGTTCGTAACATTTCGTTGCTTTTTATTATCATATATTATACAGGGTGGCTTAAACAAAGGTGCCCAAATTCACACAGGAGGTTCAGACTCGGAAGTATAATCGTTTATTGAAATAAAAACAAACTTTTTTTTGTAAAAATGGCATTCTATTCCCTAAAAACAACAAAAAACTTCAATGCGGAAGTCATTCATAAATGCGTCGTATACTTTTGTAACGAACTCGTGTGCGTATTAGTTATGAATGTTCGCGCGTAAAATAAATGAGTTGCCCATAAATCATGCACTTTCTGAGATAAATCAAATGAATGTAATAAATTAATTACGAGTGGTTTTAAATATTTATCATTTTTTATATAACTCTTTATGTTTAGAATTTTATTAAAAAATGGATACACTTAGAAATGTCACTCTGTATAGTATTTTTTAAGTAGCTATTTGTAGGCTTACTTATTTTTGGATTTTCTTTTATTTATTTCTTCGTTACCAGATTTTATGTAGTCGTATTGGTTATAATATTCTCTATTCCCCTACTCCGCACGCTGGCTCCACTTCAATGACAAGTAGCCTAAGACGGGACTATCAGGACACGGGTTAATAATAATATATAATCAACCCAAATTAAAACTCCTAAAATAGCCGTACACAAAATAAAATTACATCATTCACATTAAAAAAAACGTTCATAAATAACAAAAAATATTTATTTAGTCATTCATTCATAATATTCAGCGCTTCTAATCCATCTAATCAAAGACAGAATCCACATTCATAACAAACGGAACGAACAAACTTTATTTCCCAAACTGGGTCTCGCATACTCACGCCCACTAAACCACCACATCTCACCACCCATCAAAAACAGTCCATCCATTAAGACGAATCAAACTCGACGCAGTTGTGTTCCTTAATTACTGAGTTCCTATGGCCACATTCCAGCTCTGTCATCAGACCCTGTTTACCATCTAGCCCCAAAGAACTGTTCATGACGAATCAAACGAGCCGAGACGCAATAAGGTTGTGTCGTTTCTTGACTGAGTTCATATGACTATCTTCCAGCTCCATCATCAGATCAGACCCTGGTAACCATCTAAAAATTAAGTACACGCCAAGACGAATCAAACGAGCCGAAACTCGATGGGGTTGAGTCGTTTCATTACAGAGTAGTCATAGGAACCTCACAGAATAGCCTCATAGACCTCACAGAAGATCAGCGTTAAGGACTTCTGCGATTTGTCTGGTGAGTACCTCACTCACGAGATGCGTTTTCTTCTTATAACAAAGTGGGCTCGACTACCTTGGCGGACCCCACTTTATTATAAGGAAAAAACGCAACTGCAACCCTATGCATATGTCCATGGACGGCTGAAGATGGACTTACATCATCAGATCCTGGTTACCAATGAAAGAAAAACTACTCGTCAATACGATGCAAATGTACCCAAACGCGATGAGGCTCTGTCGTTTCATTTCAAAGTTCATTTGGCCTTCTTCCAGCTCAATCATCAGATCAGCACCATGTCATAAAAATATTGCATTGTCTCGCGACTTACACATGTATACAAAATTTCAGCCCAACCGGTAACCGGGAAGTATATTAAATTTAATTTGGAAGATTTAATTTGATGATTGAACATTAAAATATTGTAAAAATGTTCATAAAATGAAAAATACTTGGCCGAACTATGTTAAATTTTTATGGAACCAAATGGCAACTATTCTGCATCAAACTAAAGAAGAATCAAGTAAATCGGATCATAAATCTCAACGTAATCGGTGTACATACATCGATAAAAAATTTACTAATCGAATTGAGAAACTCCTCATTTTGAAGTCGGTTAAAAATATTATATTGATTTGATTAAATATTGAAGGTTACATAAAATCCATATTGTGGCAAAAATATATAAAAACATTGTTTAACAATTTTAGTCCTGAACCCATTCCAGGGGTAGGGGGGGGGGGGGGGGTCATGGGGGTCATAACCCCCATGACCCCCCTCCCCCTGGATACGCCCTTGCTTGCAGGATAGTGTGTGGGCTACATCCTGCTTTGCAGTCCTGCACGGCGTACTACTAGGCAGGATAGTGAATGGGCCCCATGTTTCTTTTTTATTTATTTAGTTTGGAAAATGTTTTTTTAATTATGGATTTTTTAACGTTAATATTTTTTCATGATTATTGGCTAGTAGCGTTAGACGTGTGTTCATTTATTGTCGCGATGGTAACGACACGGTGTATGTATTTTCTGATTTCCTAATTCGTCTTTATAATGGTATTTTGATATTCGTTACTAATATCGATTGTCGGCATCCCTAATCTGTTTATTGTAACTTATTTATTTTGCTGTATAGTCTATATTTTCAATTTTCATTGTGTTCTCTGTGCTGTGTCAGGTACCTTTCATTTAGGGATGCCGAAAGTGGAAAAAAATATCGATATATCCATATTTATAATAAAATCAATATCGGCCTCGACATAACGAAAAAAAAAATATCGATATATCGGTCAAATTTTCAATTTTAAAAAAAATAAAGGAATAGTAATTATTATACCAAATTCACATTTTAATGAATGAGAAATTTTAAGAAAACGTTAAATATTTATTAACTGTTATTAAATTAAATTTCTAAGTATTTTATGTATCAAGACCTTCACTGAAAACAAAACAAACCGCTTATTTAGTAAGATAAATCAGTTTCTTTACACCTGAATCGAACCAAAAAATAACTTATTAAAAATATGTAAAAAATATAAAGAAATGTTTAAAACGAAAGTAAGTAAGTAATGGGTCAAAAAGAAACCCGCAGATACTTGTCTTAAAAGACAGGCCTAGATCAACAGAATATAGTAATAGTTGTTTGATTGACATGAAAATGCTGAAGGATAATTTAAAGAAGTTACTTATGTGATTAAATGATAATATTTTTTTTATGAAAACATGATATTATATTATGTAATATTTAATTATTGAAAATTTGATTACAATTAAATTTTTGTTAACTTTATTTACATATTAAATTAAAGTAACTTTAATTGATGCCATTAACACTTTGCATGCTATTTATACTTTAACATAATATGTAGTTCAATATTAATTGTTTTGTAACACGTCTATACCATGCTGTACCTAAGGTACTTGATACTACGAAGCATGAAATTCTATTATAAATACCATAATTATAATACAAAAATGCATTTCTGCTTCCGCGACAATGTTAGTAATAAACCACAGTTTTTTTCCGTTCATTTTTATCTTTTACGGCTTTGAAGAAATCAGTTTGAATAAAATATCGTTTTTGATATGATTTCGGTATTCAATTTTAATGTCAATATATCGGATCTAAATATATCGGCCAAAAATATCGACATATTTAAAAAAAATGATATATCGATTATTTTCGGCATCCCTATTTATTTCGTTTACTTCTGTGATCTGTGTGTCGCAATCGTTCTCGTTGCGTTGGATTCGATTTCGAATTTCGATCATTATCTTGATTCTTGAGGTATATTGTCCAATACTGATAAAGCTAGTGCTCGGTTCCTTGGTTTCGTGAATATATACTCGAAAAGTTTTAGTATCTTTAAATATTAAAATTTGCGTTAAACATGGATGATGACGCTAGTCCAGATTTACATGTAAGTTTCAAAAAAAACAAGGTTATGCCCTAACTTCTTACTGTTTACGAATAATTTTTTCATAATGTTGTAGAAATCTTTGTCGGAAGGCCCAATGGACACAGACGAGGGTCCCTTGATTAACGAGAACTCCAATGGATTGTCGCATCTTTTAACGGAAGGAGAGTTTAACAGCGTAGACGCGGGTGTCGTGGACGAGTCTTCAACATCAAATCATGGTTTTCTTAATGCCGTTGAGTTATCGACTGGTAGCGTGGGCGATTACTTAGAAAATAACACTAGCGGATTTAACGCGGACACTTTTGATGTTGGCGATAACGCAGTCACTTTTCCTAGCGACTCTTTAAATACTGCCCTCTCCGATGGAGATTCACGCTTGAGCGAAAATGTATATAAAAACACGACTTCAGATATAGAAGGAGAATACAGCAACAGTCAGAAAACTAAGATGGAAACAGACAATGAGCAAGATAATATTAAGGAAGAAAATGATGGTAGTTTGTCAGCTCAATCGGAAAATACAAAACAATTGAACATACAAGAAACTGTCTGTTCTAACTTTGATCCAAAAGAATGCGAAAATAGTAATGATACAAATCAGTTAAGTGAGAAACAGAAGGTAATGTAAACATTTTTTGTTTGCTTAAATTTGTTCATTCTCAGATTTAATAAAATTTGTTTTGTTTTCTATAAACAGCTTGTTCTTCTACCGTACTTTTAATTTTAACAAATATGTTATATGGTAGATGTAACACAACTTTCTTATGGAATTGTCAATCCATTTTTCATTATTATGAAGAATTTTATAATATTTTGGCTATTGTTTTTGCACCAGAGAAATTGTTATCAAAAGGTATGAATGAAAAGCAACATAAATTGCTTATCATATACTATTTTAGTAAAGTATATTAACATATACTATATAAATATAAAAAATATATCTCTTTAAAATTTTTACGTTTTCCTTTTTTATGTTTCATTTTTCTAGTGAACCAAAATATTCCATTAAAGACAAGTGAATGTACAGTGTAATATTAAAGTTAGTTTTAGTTTGTTATTTTTTTTTTTTTAATTTATATAAGTTATTAGTTGAATATAACGATTTTAATTTAAGGAGATTAAAGAACTTGAACAGGATGAAGAAAGTAATTTAGTAAAGGATGAGGGTGGAGATACCTTGGAGAAAAAAATTGAGCTGGATATTTCCAAGAAAGTGAAAGTGACTAGTGTTAAAAAGTCAGAGGTAAGTTAACTTTTTTCTTCATATTAAACTTATATAACCTTTAATATGTTATATTTAAATAAGTATAGTGATATAAATAGTAACCCCACTTATGATATGATATTATAAAATTTTGAATTCTATTAATCTTAAAAATACAGGGGATTTATGGGGCATGTCCATAAAATTAATGACCACGATAATGCCATATATTGCATCACATTTAGCTAATATTTTTAACAACTGCATAGATTCTGGAATATTTCCAAATCTTATGAAATTTAGTAAGATAATCCCCGTTTTCAAAAGTGGGGATAAAAATGATCCAGGAAACTACAGACCTATGAAAAACTAATTTTAAATCTAATCTTAGCACATTTTAATATGAACAAAATTTTTCACAATGAGCAATATGGATTCACTAAAGGCAGATCGACAACAGATGCGGTTGTTGCACTTGTCAAACATATTTATAACGCCTGGGAAAGGTCACAAGAATGCAATAGTTGTCTTTTGCGACCTTTTAAAAGCTTACTGCGTAGACCACAAAACCCTCCTTCAAAAGCTAGATTATTATACATCGCCTCTGACCTTAGTAACAGAATTCAAAAGTATGTATAAATGATGTTAATTCCGCAGGGTCCCCCATGAAAATGGGTGGGCCACAAGGATCAATCTTGGGCCCATTTTTATTCTTAGTGTATATAAATGATCTCCCCTTTTATGCAAGTGAGTCAGTCATTTGATGTTGTACTATTTGCTGACGACACATCGCTTATTTTTAAGGTTGACCGAAACATAGAATTATGACGACGTGAATAGTGCACTTTCGTATATCCTCCGCTGGTTTACCATTAACTATATGGTGTTAAATGCTAAAAAAACTAATTGCCTTCTTTTTACCCTTCCCAGTGTAAGAAGGCAAAGTTTTAGCTTAACATGAAATAGCGTAACCCTTAATCCTGTTGAGTCCACTGTATTCTTGGGAATTACAGTAGATTCAAAGCTTCAATGGAGTCCCCATCTATCATCTCTTGCGAATAGTTTAAGCTCCGCTGTTTTTGCAATTAGGAAGGTTAGGCAGCTATCAGACATGTTTCATAAGAATGCGCAAGGGTCTATGTGAATTAAGATATTTTATTATATTATTATCTTATACAAATAAATTAACATTATTTTATTAGGATTATTAAAAGTTATATCATTTATCAGAATAAAGTTGGTGGTGCTGAAGAAACAGAAGTTGTGTCGGAGGATGAACTACCAATTGTTCAGAAACCAAGCATAAAAGATGCTGAAAATGTCTCTGATGATGAACTGCCAGGTCCCAAACCAGCAGAACTTCCAGCTGATACTGAGGTATTTGTTACAAAGACTTTGTCCAAACAAAATTTGATTTGCGATTGATTTTTTTTGATAAAAGTTTTATTGTTACCATATAAGCTTTTACTTCAGTACCAGATCAGTTTTACAGCAACAGCCTTCCCTATTAAAATTTAGCAACATGCCTTTTGGTGTTTCCAATATTGATGGACAGTCATACCATCAGTTTGCAATTGTTGCAATTGTCATTGTAATTATTTATAGCTTAATTTTCATAGCATTGGTTAATTATCTTTAAGGTTGTATCTGAAGATGAGCTGCCATCATCCAAAAAGGATACCAAGGAATCTCGGAAAAGAAAACCTGAAGAAGAAAGGGATGGGTATGACCCGGGTTCTCCCACATCTGAGAGTGAATCCTCCAACAAGAAGCAGGCTGTTGCTAAGGTTTGCATTTTATAATTTGTAATTGATCATATATTAATTTGTAAGCTGTGTCTGTGTGAATAACAAAACAAAATTTTATTATTTATTGGTAAGTTAACTGTTAATTTCTTACCAGATAAAATTGTTAAGAAATTAAAGAACTAGTTGATTTGAACTAAAACCATGTTAGACCAATCCTCAAAATGTTTATTTTCCAATCCAGAAAGTAACTACAGAATATTAAAAACCTCTTTTTAAGGCATTATGGTTAAAAATATGGTTATAAATAAACAAAATTGTTTGTTTTAATTTTTTAATAGAGTCAGTATCTAGCTCTTGAATTGATCTGCAAATATGGAATTCAGACTAAAACAGAATTTTATAGAAATATGCCTAAATATTCATGCATAAAAATAAAAAGAAACCATTTTTTTAACATAGAATGGTGAAAGTAAACCAATACCTGCAGAGAAAAGAATGTCAATAGATGAAAAACCAAAGAAGAAAACTCTACCAGAGCTTGACAAGTACTGGAAAGTGGTCAATGATGACCCTACTGACTTCACTGGATGGACATACCTACTACAGTATGTAGATCAAGAGGTAATTTCACTATTTCAATATATATTCTATAAGTTGCATTCTTTGTTTATGAAGTAATTTTGTGTTATAAATGTGATGAAAAATTATGCTAGTCTTATTGCTTTGTGAAGCAATAAGAACTGAACTTTTATGATGATAGGCAAGGGCCAACTGAATTTCAATAACTATCTGCATTTGAAAAGGTCCTTATATGTTTGAAATATAGTATAGTTGTTAAAATTACCTGCAGAGCGACGTAGAAGCGGCACGTGAAGCTTATGACGCCTTTTTGTCTCACTACCCATATTGCTATGGCTATTGGCGGAAATACGCAGACTATGAGAAACGCAAAGGAAGTAAAAAGAAGTGCCTCGAGGTGAGTGATTCTGGCTTCATACACTTGTTTAATATAATTATTTAAGCAACACTCTTTGGTGAGTTTATGTGGAAATAATTTTTAATAAGATTCACTTGAATGTGTCATTACTCATCGTTTTTTCAATTGTTTTAGTTGTGACTGGTATTGTGCAATTATTTTTTTTCCCAGCAGTGCATCGAGGCCAACGATGTTCATATGGCAAAATCGTCGGTTGGCACCGGAGAGTTATATTACCAATCACATAGATTTCGGTCTAGTGGTCCATTGTTTGTGGTGTATAATTTTTATTCTTTTGAATAATTTTATGATGTGTTATATGATGTATTGTAATTTTTTTTTTAATGTAATGTACATTAAGTTCGTATGTTGTGCATTGGAAATACTTAAGAGAATCTAATGACTAATCCATGCCAGCATATAGCGACACAAGTATTTAGCGATTGAATTAGTGACGGAGGAAGCCGGCGAAAGGAGGCTGCTTCGGCGTCCGGCGATTGTAAACAGGTGTAATATGCCCGACAAACATTTTATATATATTGGATTGAGGTGAGACGTTGCGAGAGATCCAACGGCTCACTTCATCATATTCGAAATTCAAATGAGACAATATAATGCTATTAAATATTCCCTTGCTTTCATAGTGTTGCCGTTGTCACGGCAACGCTCTGGCCGCCTCGGAGCATGTTTGATCATTTAGTGGCATTTCAGGTTTTGGAAAGAGGTCTCAAAGCGATTCCACTATCAGTGGATCTGTGGATACATTACCTGAATCATATAAAAGCCACCAGAACTGAAGATCTCGCTTACATTAGAGCACAATATGAGAGGGCTATAGGTAAGGTTTTTGTATAACGAATTGTTAGAAATTTTATATTAAGAGATTTTGGATTTGGTAAAATAAATACTACTGTATGAGTGGTACAAAAATAAAAATTTTATCATCATCATCATCATTTCAGCCTGTTTGAGTCCACTGCTGAACATAGGCCTTAAATATAAATTTTATAATTTTAAATAACTTTAAAAAACTTTAAGAGCAATGGTGACATCTCTCTTTACAAGTATTTATCCTTGAATGTTATCTGTAAGGTGTAAAGGATGCACACTAGATGTCACCAAGCATTGCTAAAAATGTAACAGAACAAATGTAGATAGATGTTAAGATTGTCACGCCGTGAGGTTATCGGCCGCTTAGCTTAGTTATTTAAAGCGTCTGGGCGCGAGACCAGAAGCCGCATGTTTTTGTTCATTTATCTACATAAGTTTTTGTACTTTAAAATGTGAATACCTTTTAATATCCAATATGACATTGATGTTATTTCTTTTTTTTTTATTGCAGAAGCCTGCGGGTTAGAATTTCGCTCTGATCGTCTGTGGGAGTCATACATCAAATGGGAAGCCGAGAATGGTACTGCACTTAACGTCACCGTCATTTATGATCGCTTATTGGCCACTCCGACCCTCGGGTATACTTCACATTTTGACAAGTAAGTCCTTCATAAAATGTACCACTTGAATTTGTTTTGGAATTCATCCAAAATAGTCATAGCCCATCCAATAAGTTTTCAATATATTAAGCGATTTGATCTTTGAATGTATGTATGTCTAATTTTTTGGCACACTACTGTTCAAACCTTTTGACCTGTTGTGGGATTGATATAGGGTAAATTATTCTCATGTGGTGGCAGCAATAAAAAGAAAAGAAGAATTATAATTTTATTACATTATTATAAGATTAATATGTTTTTCAGGTATCTACTAACTATAGAGTACATGTGTTGAGTTTAACGGTTAGAGAATCGTCATCATCATTCATCAGCTGCAAGACGTTCACAGTTGAACACAGCCTCCCCCTTAGACCGCAACAACTAGCGACACTTTCCCATTTACCCGGTTACCCGCGACCCTTATGATTTCGTCCGTCCTAGTGGGAGACCTTACAACGCCTCGTATTCCGGTTCGTGGTCGCCACTCGAGATCTCTTATTCCCCATTGGGGGAGAGAATGTTGTGTAACAATGTCAGAGATATATTGATTAATTCATTTTTTTTCCTTGTTTATAAAACATAGCCTTTACTGTAGGAGAACATTGTCCTGTGTTGTAAGAGCGTTTTAAAAAGATAAATTTCACGTGGACAAACTACCAGATCCGAAACAATTATCTGTGGATCACAGAATACTTAGTCAGAGAATCGAACCCACGACCCCCAGCGCCGAAGCGAATTAACAAGGGCGCCACAGAGTCATCATTCATTCATTCGATCAATCATTAATTCGTTCATTCATTCATTAATTCGTCCGTTCATTCATTTATTTAAACAGCTTCCAAGAGCACGTGATGTCGGAGCCGGTGGCAGGGGTTGTGTCGCGCGCTGAGCTGGTGCGCCTCCGGGGCGAGGTGCGCGAGGCGACCGGCGCCCAGCCGCAGCTTGACCTTCCGCCAGGCGAGGACGAGCCACTCGACCACGTCGTGAGTCGCAGCCGATTTTTTCCCTCCCCGTGATGTTCCACCTGTTTTTGTTTTAACGTTATGCCGTGCTTGCATCAACTGGGCCCGCCAAGGACAAAATGGCGGTATAGCTAATAGTGAACAAAACCTCCCTCTTAGACCGTCGCTCCACCTTGATTTTTTTACAATGGTTAGACGAATTATAACACTGATTGAGATTCGTTCTCTATTATTCGGCATCTTTCACTTTTGACGGTCGGTAACGTCAGCAATACCAAAGGATTTGTAAATGCCCTGGGGAAACAGTTGCTCGGTTGCCAAACTTTCAATATAAACACTGCACCCGTGCGAAGCCGGGGCGGGTCGGTAGTTGTTAGGTAATTAATTGAAATCGTTTGTCCAGGCATCCGAGGAGGAAGCACAGGCTATCAAGGAGCGGGTGATCGCAGCCAGACGTAAAGTGCACAAAACGACCGGCGAGGAGGTCGCTGCCCGTTGGACATTCGAGGAGGGCGTGAGTATACCTACCCCATTAGTCTTTGTGTCTTTCCTTCGTCAGTCAAATTTCTTTAGGTGATGGCTTTGTTAACGTCAAAGTTTCCGAAATGAGCATGTTCAATAAATGAGTCCCTCATAAAAAAAGCTTATAAATGAGAAGATAATAAATATTACCCAAAATAAAAATTTAAATAATTTATTGAATTAAAATTATTTGCAATAGTAGTAAACACAAGATGAATTACATGTAATCTAAAAAACCTAACCAACACCGCATGGTGTCAAGGCGTTAGTTGCATTTCTGTACAGTTATACTTAACCCTTAAAAAAACAGAACCAGCCCTCTTCTCATCAACCGCAGCAATGAGGCGAGGACATATTTCTTTCAAGAATTTTATATAAGCGGCGACGTTTAAGTTTCTACAGAATAGCCAAATACATAATCTGCACAAAGATCTTTCCCCGCAAAAATCTAAAATCAAAATCCTTTACTTCTCGACATAAGAAACATACATTTTTCATCTATCGATAGTCTTTTTTTTAATCTACCACCATTATGTAATGAAATTCTTCTAACGGAGAAGAAACTCCGTATGAGCGAAGTACGCCTTAAATGAGTATCAAAGTTTAAAGTTTTTTATGTTGTGCTAATCTCTACACTTAAGATTAAACATTAAAACTTGTAGAAAAAGTACGAAAAGATTGTCGCCGCTGTGGGAATCGTACCCACTTCTTCGGCATTCGCGGCCTGACGCTTTAGCCACTAAGCTAAACGGCTGATTGCCACACCGACGAAAATCAGTAGCATTTGAAGCAAGGCTTGGCGCATCTAATGTTATATCCTTTCCAGCATACAAACAATTTCGAATATCATTTTACAACTTCGAACATTCGATAACTTCGAACGAGAGATGTCGCCATCGCTTTTTAGAAATTTAAAGTTTTTATAGTGCTAATCTCTACACTGCTTTAAGAGTATCAAAGTGTCTACGCAAGTAGCATACCAAACGAAAGCTTTGCCTTTTTCCTAAGGAATCAAATTTCAATCAATAACGAGATGTGTACCAACATGTGTACATGTGTACATATGTACCAAAATTGCAATCTACAGATTGTGTCTTCAAATTTTTCCACACCACATATCCTATTTTAATAATTGTAGTTTCAATTTGAAACATCGGTCACAATTGACAAGAATTTTCCGATTTAGGTAATTCTTTTAAACTGTCGCATCGCACACTGAATATTTAATAATAAAAAAAATATTTTTGTTTCAGATAAAACGACCATATTTCCATGTGAAGCCGTTAGAAAGATGTCAGCTCAAGAATTGGAAGTCTTATCTCGAGTGGGAGAAACAACATGGGTCCTTTAAACGGGCGCTCGTGTTGCATGAGAGGTGTCTCATAGCCTGTGCTCTTTATGAAGAGTTCTGGATGAGGGTATGGATACATTTTTTTTATATTTCTTTAATGTAATCACATTAAATAACGCTGATTGCGGTGAGGTGTATAACTTATGGAAGAGTGTCTGGACGCGTAATCCGGAATGTGTAGTTTGAATCCTTACAGCAGCAAAAATTTTTCGATGGTTTATCGACACATTTTTAAAGAATTTCGAAAGAAGTAAATAGAAGAAAGTAATTTTGAAACTAAATCACTATATATTTACAGCTGATCAAGTTTCTAGAGGAGCGTATCGATTCAGAGCCGGATCTTGTTCCCGTGGAACGTGAAGTGCTGGAGAGGGCCTGCACCGTTCACCATCTGGACAAGCCAGAGCTTCACTTACACTGGGCGCACTTCGAGGAGGAACACGGCAACCCGACTAAGGCGGCTGAGATACTTGACCGGATAGAAAAGACCTGTCCCAATCTCGTACAGATACAGTACAGGTGAGGCATACTTCTAAAGGCCTTGACTTTTGTTTTCGTTTTCATTTTAAACTGTAAAGTTGTTAAATCACACGATTTATGCAATATATACGCCCCAAAGTTATAACTTACATTTGTTTTATTTCTTTATGTTAACTACAAAAACAAATATTGTTCAGAAATGTTTAATGTTATCTACTGATAAGTCCATGTTTTTTGGATTACCTCATTCATTTATAGTGTTTTTAATACGCTAAAATATTGAACATTAAATGTTTCCAGACGCGTCAACTTGGAGCGCAGGCGTGGCGACTTTGACAAATGCTGCCAATTATATGAAGGATACATAGCTACGGCTAAGAACAAGGCAATTTCGTCCGCCCTGTCCATCAAATACGTTCGCTTCTTGTTCCACATCAAGCGGGACGCCTCGGCGGCCAAGAAAGCGATCGACGACGCCATCGCCAGGGATCCACTCAACGTCAGGCTGCATATGCAGCGGCTAGACATTGCACTGCACACACCCGGCACGCCTTTCGAAGTTTTAGAAGGTAATTGTGTTAAAATATTGCGGTAGGACCACGGAAACACCAGGTAATCACGTCATAGAAGACCAGTGCCATGTGGAAGTGTTAAACGATCGCGTTTCGCATTGTGAGTGAGGTAACTGAAGTCCACTTTTTTTAAGATATTTGCAAGTCCTCAAGTGTTATAGATATCCATAGGCGGTGATAATCACTTCAATAAAATAAATCAGGTCAACAGCATTTTCACATTAAAAATGTATTTTGTTATCATGATTACGTGGGATTTGTTATAGAGAATTTAAAGAGAAGCCCTCCAGGGCTCCGTGTACCATATTCATTTTATATCCATGATATCCATTTCATATTTGTGAATCTTCCTCAATACAATAGTTGTTCTCTAGTGCGGGATTTTTTTGCGCTACAAGCCATTGCAATGGAATCCAAAAAAGGGAAATCAATCATATATAAGACTAGATGCAAAATAAGAAAAAAAATGTCTGTCTAATCTACTATTGCCTTCAACCTATTTTATTATAACTGTGCATGAATGTGAATGAAGGCGAATAAGAATGTCGCATTAAAACACGGACAGTACAGTTTCCGCGTTAGCTCTCACGCGATGCGGTGCGCTTCCAGAGCTGGCGATGTCGTACGAGCGGCAGGAGGGCGCCGAGCTGGAGTGCTCCGCGATGATGGCGTGGCGGCGGCGCGAGCTCGCCGAGGAGCTGGGCCCGGCGGCCGCCGCGCGCTCCGCCCACCGGCACGCGCGCGCCCTCGCCAAGCACCTGCGCAAGCGCGCGCGCAAGGACAAGCACGAGCAGCCGCCCCTGCCCGCGTAAGCATTCCCAGTTCCCGGTCGCCTCGTCGTCGTCGCTTTTGATATACAATGCCCTCAGTGTAGGATAACATTATCCTGCGTTGCGGCGTAAGCATTCCCAATTCCCGGTCGCTTCTTCGTCGTCAGTTTTGTTATGCAATGCCCCTACGCCCAGTTTCTGGAACACTGATCATCGTAGATGTCAACGAATCAAGTGTCAAATGGCTTTTTAAATTTCATTTTAGTCACCAAAAGGATGGTTTAACTCTTTGGATTGATCATTAAGAAGATCATTCTGGTCAATTTAGAGATTTAAACCATCCTTTTGGATCCAAATCAAATTTGTAAAGGCATTTGACAACTGATCCAACTAAAATCAAAGTTTATAAAGGCATTTGACCACTGATTAGTTGACATCTACGATGATCTGTGTTTCAGAAGCCGGGCGTTAGTGTAGAATAACATTTATCCTGTGTTGTAAATAATAAGTAATTATTTGTAAAAGTTTGCAGAAGACTACTTCCGCATTTAACAACACCTGACCTACCCCAAACCTTAAATGCCCCGCTTACAAAGGGCTATGATCTTTTCAAGAATTACTACAAAAGGAAAAAAGTGTGTGCGTGTAACCTTTACGCGCGATTGAAGTAAAACTTCTTTGGCGTTGACGGCATATATCACTGAAATAATTAAGGAGCATGATTAAGATTATACTTATGACGTTACTTCCGTCAGAAAAAGCGTTACTTCCGTCAGAAAAAATCTGTGTTACTCCCTAGTCGCGCCTAAAGAAGTTTTACTTCAAAAATCGTAAATTGTGAAAAAATATCCATCGAGTTAAAAAATATTAAGCATTAACACCATTCGTCGTTCGTAACAATTATCGGAACAAAAGCTCTCCACCCGGCTCGTAGATGCGAGTTGTTGGAAATTGTGGCACAAGAAAAAAAATTGGTGTTATGGTCCATCTATACGACTCTCGGAGCTTCGCTCTGAAACGTGCTAGATGACTAAAAATATGGGGAGGCTGAAGGAACTAGCATCATTTTTTTTATTACTATTCCTTTATTATTCTTATTTTTCATTTAGTTAATCTTAAATGCTGTGAATTTATTGCATCAAGCCTGGTAATTAACATAACAAGCGAAAGGAACTTTGTTCCAACTGGGTATCCCTTTCTTTTACCCTGCTCACTTATTATGATAGAAGTTAAAAAGTAAAACCTATGTCCCACTGCTGGGCAAAGGCCTTCTGTACAAAAAGTATTAAGACGTAGTCCACCACGCGGCCCTACTGCGGATTGCGGACTTAAATATCTTCGAAATTTTTTTTGTTATGATTTCGAAAATATGCAGGTATCATCCTTACGAAGTTTTCCTTCACCTCTGAGCACGTAATAAGTCACCACTTAAAATTAACGATTTTATTGTGTTGCCGGCGTCGGGGATCGTTTTGCTCCAGTATATTTAATTAAAAGCTAGTGGACAATGAGCTATCACGCCTTCGAAGATAAGTTAAATGTGGCCAAAATGATGTTTGAACGTTTCTGTAAGCCGTTCCTTAATCTTTGACAGACCTTCCGCCGATGCGGCGAAGAAAAAGGATGCCAACAGTACGACAATGACCAGCAACGCCACCACCACAAGCGGCAACAGTACTTACTACCAGACGCCGGCCGCAACTACGCAGTCGTACGACCAATCGTACGCGCAGCCCTACCAGCCGCCGTGGGGCTACCAGCAGCCGCCGGGCCCCTACCAGCACCACCCGCACCCTTGGCCCCAATACCCCAACTACTATTAATACCCACGACCTCGATGTGACCCTCATTGACATTTTATGAATTTCTCACCATTGTGACACAATCACCCGTAGCTTCGTTTTAAGTGCAGTTAATGTACCAATTTGAATTGCTTTTTATTTTTACTTCTGAAAAGTAAGTTCTTATGCGCAAGAAATGATTTTTCATTGTGAAATTTGAGCATTCTAAATAAAGGTATGTTCTTAATGAGTCTTTTATTTACTGATAAGGGAATATCTCGTAGGTTACTTTTTATAAAATTGACATCTATATTTTTTTCAATAGGAATATTAACTACGCAAGCCATTTGTTACACGAAAGTGGAAATTGCAAACTTTTATTCGTTTTTGCTCAGGTTTTTAAAACGTGCTATCATTTCTAACGACAAGTTCAAAATGGTTAAACTTACCTGACGTCACTAGTCCATAGCGCGCTAGTTCGACGTGAACACGCCACATACGTGTCAAGCGTTTATTAATGCCGCGCGCGCGCCACTCCCTAGTTTGCCCGCTACTTAGAGCGCACGTGCGTTTCGTACGTGAACACTTGGATACTGTCATATGGCTGATATTTCGTGACCGCGCCCGCGAGTCAACGTGTACAACAAGCGCTGATACAGCCACCTCACGCCGGTGAGGTCATGGTACTTCCCGCGGACGATACTGCCCATACATGCAATAGTAGAAGCTGCTGTCTGGAATCCATCAACTAGAATGCAAATTTTCAGAAAATATGAAGTCATTTTTGATTTTTTACCAGGAGCACATAAATTCAAAAATGTGTTAAACAAACATGCTCTTTGCCTGAAGTTTTTTTCTTCTAGTTCTAGCAGCATAATTTAATAGCAATATATTATAGTTAACTGTAACAATGAGTTTTTAGAGTTTAAAAGAAGCTTTCTAAAATATTTACTATTTAAAAAACACTTTCATTATTTAAAACATTTAATTTCACACTCTAATCACAAAATCTACGGTCCATAAGTACATAATTATTGTATATATCTTAAGAGATGGTGCAGCCGAACTTAGTGGATAGTTTTCTTAAATTTTACATATCCAGTCTTTCAAGAACTGGCTAGTTCTAGACCGCTTTGTCACCAGATAATGATTCATGTTTTAGGGATCTCCTGGTATTAAATTAATAAATACCAAAGTCTAGAATCTAGACTAGAGAGACTAATAAGAGACTCATTTGGAGCAATAGGTAACAAGAAATTAATAGGCAAGACGAAGTTTCATGGTCTTCTAGTGGTGGTGAAATTTTCTGATTCTATGTAAAACCATATTAAAACTTCAACTTCAGGTATTTTACAATATCTTTTCATCACTCTTTAGTTATTATTTATTATAAAAAAAAATGTGGTAAAAATCTTAACATTGTTTAGAATAAATAATTTGTAGTGTAATAATTCAAAACACTTAACTTGGCATTAATTCATAGTTAAAATTATGTCAATGCAGATTTAAAACGGTCGAAAAAGTACTATACTTATTTTTGTGCTTCATGAATGATATAATTTATTAGAAAAGTAGCAATTTGTATGAGTAATAAACACAACTATGTACATTCAAATCTAACAATTCTAATATAATATATGCTTTGTTTTATATGTCGAATTAAATATAAATTTAATGTGAAGTATATAAGAAACATACCTTTTTTTAATAGGCAATCTATAAGAGTAACCAATTAGTTATAATACATGATAATATTCCAATACCTTATTACACAATATTAATACAATAATTTTATTATTTTATTTAATTTTAATATTATTATAAACTATACCACTTAATTTGTTCACAATAAATATCTTTAAAACATTTGAAGGATTACCAGATCCAGTTTTGTCTTACTTTAGATTTATATTTATGTGCCTTATATTTTACTTATTTCAGTGAAACATAAACTATGGGATATAAAAATGATTTCTCATATTAACAACAGACAAAAGTATTAATATTTTCTAGACAACAGTTATATTTTTTACAAAATTAGTCCAAACAGTTCACACTAGTTTTTTAAAAAGGTCTACACTCTCTCTCTGTCTCACTCTCAGGACACCTTAACTTCAGAATTGCGAGATCAGAATAACACTTAGGATAAATGCAAAATTCACATATGTAACATTCAAGTTTTTAGAACAGCTTCAGTTCACACTTTGGGTATTGGTAAATGTTTTACACAGCACTAGAAATCGATTCAATTTATTCGTTTGAAAGTTCTGACTCTGTGTGAATTTACCACACAGTAGATTGTCTATTCTTAAACGAATAAACGTGAGGATCGGTCTCTGCGCCGCCCAAGGCTATACGTCTTTACGGGCGGACTTAAGACAGCTTTCATCATGAGCATGCCGCTTTTGCTGCCTTCACAGCTGTAAGGAAAACAATTATTTTAAGATCATTAATATTGGAGAATTAATAATAAAGAATTTGACTACATGTAGTTGGAATCAAAATGTAGATTGCAACTACATATAGTAATTATTAAACATAGAACATTTTTAAAATGTTAAGCAAACAAGGGGTTTGTAAGGGGTTGATTACTTGTTTGTTTAGTTACTTTGTAGGGGTGATCACTGCCCCAAAACATTAGCAACACCAAAGATAAGTGAATTGCCAACTTCAAAGAGAGGCTTGCAAACTTTACAAAAAAAAACATATTATAATAAATACTTGTCACAAATCTTCTAACAGAGTTTGGTGTTACTTGACAGACATACTGGTAGAAGATCACAAGTTTGCTAGTTTATTTACGTTACGACTCACCTTCTCGCTCCTTTCGTCGCAACTTCTTCCTACGCCGATCGATGGCGGCGAGTTCAGCCTTCACTGAATGATACGTCTTACGTAGATCTGCCAGTCGCGACGTTAGAACGTTGATACGCTTCTGACAGTCCCAAGATGGATCTGATAAAATTTATTCTCAATTAAAATTGTCCTTTACTACCCTAGATTATTATCAATGGTTATTTATTTTTATTGTGTAATCAGACTAGTTTTCAAAAATATATAGTAATTTGAAAGAGAAATATGTAGACACAAACAAGTCTTTGTTCCGTCCTTTTCTCAATATAGTAATACACATTAATTGTAAAACGGGAAGGTTCCATTGTTAAAACTGTGCAGATTAAGTGTTATTAATGGATGTAATATGAATATAAAACAAAGGCAAAAGCGACACGCAACTTCTAACAATTAATTTATTTTTCACGTGACTCTCTGCCACGTACAACCAAGTTGCGGGATCAGTTGTTGGCAGCGATATTTCCGGACTGATGCGACTTAGAAAAAAGCGCAGGTATTCCTTCCTCAAACGGCAACGCATTTGTGACTCCTCTGGTGTTGCGAGTGTCCATGGGCGGCGGTGAACACTTACCATCAGGTGGCCCGCCTGTTTGCCCGTTTGCCTCCTTTAGCATATAAAAAAAACCGAAAGTGCGAATCTGCCACGCGCACGAAATGTTCCGTACCATTAGCTATAAAAACGGACAAAAAAATCATGTCTGTTGTATGGGAGCCCCACTTAAATTTTTTTTATTCCGTTTCTTAGTATTTCACACACACATGCACACAAATTTCTTTTATTAATATTTTTCCTTTTATCACGTCCTTTCTGATGCTACCGTCTAATACAGTGCATCTTTTATTGATATGGGGAACGGCGCCGAAAGCCGAAAGCTCAAAACCTAGTTCGGCGACGGATGCTATTGATCTATTGTAGTTATTTGTAACAATATTATGTATTAGCACTAAGTCCAAAATTGTATAACTAAAAGGAAATAAACTTATTTGTTGTTATAGCGACAATAGAAATGCATCATCTGTGAAAGTTTCAACTGTCTATCACAGTTCATGAGAACAGCCTGGCGACAGACGGACGGACAGACAGACAGCGGATTCTTAGTGATACGGTAGGGTCCCGTTTCACCCTTTGGGTACGGAACCCTAAAAAAAAGAACAACCAGCGCGTCATACCCAGGTCGACGATGAAGTTGTACTTGAGCGTTTGGTGCGCGTGCGCGTGCGCGTTGTGCGGTGCGTGCGCGTGCGCGTTGTCGTCCGTGTCGCGTCGGGAACGGCGCGTGCGGCCGCGGCCCGCCAGCGAGCTCTCGGACGCCTTCCGCGATCGGCTCGCTGGAACGTGGCAAATGGTGACTGCGTGGCGCAGTGGCCAATGTGTCGGCGTGGACGCCGCGGATGGTGGGCTCACAGTTTTATCTACACATTTTGCTTATAATATACTATAATATATTATATTTATATATATATTTCTTCAGTACATGTGTATGTGTATGTCTCAACTGCTCCCAAATGGCTGGATCGATTTTAATGAAATTTTTTGTGTGTCTTCAGTTTGATTCGGGAATGGTTTAGATTCACAATTCGTTCTTTTTTATTTATAAGTTATTGTTGGATTTATGTCCCGTGTACAGGACAACGTCTGTTCGGTCCACTAGTTATGTATAATATATGTATAAGTATAAATATACAAGTTTACTCCAAAAATTGTTCGATTAATTAATTGATTACTAATTGCTAGATTTGATTATATTAGATTCAATGTTATTTTAAAATTTTTTGTGCTAATAGTTTTTTTAAGTTGGTTCGTTTTTTGTTAAAAACACTAGTATATGACAGTATTATACATACTACAAACCATGACGCAATCAGACTTACGGCGAGGTTTATCCATGTCATGTGCGGGCGAACCGTGGCCGTGCGGCTCCTCTTCGTCCTCCTTGCGCTCCGAGGGACTGTCCCTCTCCGATATACGTCTCTCACTATTTATAAGAACATTAATTATGACACGTATAGTTAAACAGTTACTTTCATTTACGACACGTATAGTTTAGCTGTTACAAGGTGTGTTAAATTTTTATTTTGTTAGTCTTACTCATATCCAAAAATCAAAGTTAGTTTCATTGTTTTACATTTTAAGCAGTTCGATCATTTATATTGACGCTCCTACTTTAGTTAAGTTTAGTCTAACCAAAAAGATGTGAAGATTGCCAATTCGCATTGGGACCGAAAAAAGAGGCCCCTTTCCAGCGGTCGGATATATTCTTTTTTTTTCTGCGCAAAGAGATGTAAAGTTGAATGATCAGACATGCACAACACCTGTGGGGTTGCATTTGCTTTGCCAGCCTTTACGAGGCGCCGTGTACCTAAGTCATCAGACCAACCGCAAAAGCAGAAAACTGCCTAAGCCGGTCAGTCTCGGACTGGTCCTGATCCCCCTGCATCCAACGACTTCTCGCAAATTTCCACAGGTCGTCGCTCCATCTAGTGGGGGCCCTACACTGTGATGGATACGAGGCGACTACTAATCCCATCGGTTATCGGTCCTACGAACTATATGGCGGCGGCGCCATGTTTGCTGTTGCACGAATGGGCAGGCTTAACCAACCTAAGAAAAGTCGTTGAGTACGGAAGTACTATATTTTCGCGCTTGTTAAGTGAAATGAAGGTTGGCAAAGCATGTGCAACTACTCAGCCGTCGGAAACCGTACCCGCGGGCGATTGTCGTCACTTAATATTAGGGGAACTATCTGGCCAACTTTTCACAAAAAATAAAAAAGTTTGTGTGTACTTATATACGCACGTAAGAAATGATACTTCATTAGCGTAACAAAACCAGAACAAGTAATATTATCCCGTGTGCCAGTACTCTTTGTTTGTGTCCAAAAAAAAAAGATATTAGATAAAATTGATAGCGGTTCAATTAAATAATATGGAATTATATAGGTAAATGTCAAAAATACCGGTAACAACTATCGATTGCCACGGACACACCATCAAGTTGGCGTCGCTTCGTAAAATTTCACTCTCATCATTCACAAACGTGCCGAAAGAGGTGTGACTTCGAAACTGTTTATACGCAATCCTTACTAATATTATAAACGCGAAAGTTTGTATGTATGGATGGATGTTTGTTACTCTTTCACGCGAATACTAATGAATGGATTCTAATGTAACTTTACAATAATATAGCTTATACAACAGAATAACACATAGGCTATAATTTATATACATATTTTATGTACATCTGTCTTTCTGTCTGAATTTTACGCCATCAGCCTATTCTACGCAGACGTAGTCGCGGGCAGCAGCTAGTGTGCTAATACGGGTGCGGTGCAGCTAATACGGATGAATGTTTTGTACCGCTGCGGGGACATGTCGAGGCTGCTGTCGGGCGTGGTGGGCGGCGTGTTGTCGATGAGCGCGTGGCGGCGGGTCCACGGCGCCGCCCCCGCCCCACCAGCCCCACCCCCGCCCCCACCGACCGCCATCCCCGCCGCCTCCTCCCCCTCCCCGGCGCGCCCACCGCCCGAGTTGCGACGCTCCTCCGCTGCGGAATCAGATCAGACACGTTGCAGTTGAACGCTGAGAGTGATTATTTTGAAGTGATCACCTATAGGAATGTGGAGTCATTTTGCCTGTTAATGTCACGTGTTCTGTCATCGATTTTTGGTGACGTTAAAATTGTGATATCATTTTGTTTTCTGATGTTCGACCTCGTATATTTTTGTCGCGCATTTTAAAGTTAAAATTCCATAAAAGTCATTCGGTTTTTTTGAATGAGAACATCGTAATATAGGCGCTTCATATTTAATCCGTAAATACGATTATGTATAATATAAGCGTGTGGGATAAAATTTATGCTGCAACTACATAGTTTTTTATTGATATAGTACCTCGTCCTAAATAGTAAACCTCAATTTGAAAATTAAATTTTTTATGGTAATAAAGAAAAATTTGTAGAATAAATTGTAATTTGATTTTTAATTTTAGGGCTAGGCTTAGCTGTGGTAAGGCCACGCAAGTCTTCACTGTTGCACGAATGAGCAGGGAAGTACCACAACTAACAGAAGACCGGCGTCAAGTTATAGACATGTTACACTTCTTCGTTTCGTCTGGTGAGTGAGGTAGCCGGGGGCCACTTTATTTAAAGGTGGCGTCGCATTTGTAACCCAACTGGTATTGCAAACATCCATGGGCGGCGGTTATCACTTAACATAAGGTGAACCGCCAGCTTGTTTGCCACTATCTCACACAAAAAAATTAGGCAGTCTCTGCACTTAATATGTAATTAAAGTAAGGAAGCACATTAGACTACGCCAATCGTTGTTAAAAAATTCAATAAAATAAAGTAGATAAAACATGGAAATTATCGCGTGGTGAGTATATCGTCCCGAGCTTAGTGACTAGAGCATCTGGTCGGAAAATGTTTTCTTCGACAATTTTATCTTCACATTTTAAGTTAAACAAACTGTACGTGAAATCTAAATCAAACGACTAGTGCAAAAATGTGGGTAATAGTAGAAAACAAATGAAATGTGACGCCTCGATGAATAAAGCGAAACGCATCAGCGTCATGCGTCCTGCTCTAACCTTTGGAGTGCGAGTGGTGCGGCGGCGCGCAGGCGAAGGGCAGCGTGTGCTTGTGGCGGGGCGGGGCCGGCTCTGCGTCCGGCGCGGGCGAGCCGGGGATCGTCTCCTCGCAGAGCAACAGGGATATGTTGCTATCCTCTTCTGCCGCGGCGGCGCACGCGGCAGGGGGCGGGGCCGCGCTCGTTCCCGGCCGCCCGCTGCCCGCCACCACCACACTCGCGCCTGTCAATTAATATAATAATAGTGATGTTACTGCAACGATCCACGCAAGTTTTCACCGTTGCACGAATGGGCAGGTCCGTCCGGGTAAACACCGTATATTTTGAAGTCTGTTGAAAATATCATTACGAAGTTGTATGCAACTGTAAGCAGAAACGAAGGTTCTTATTTATTGTCTTAGTGGGCGTTTGCGGGCAAGTATCACAGTCTGACAAAAGACGGTGGAAGTGAAGTGAAAGTGTTATACTTTCGCGTTTCGTCTAGTGAGTGAGGTAACTAATATATATAAAGCTAAGTATATATAAAGCCCTTGGCTGTTAGCTGGCTGTAGATGTTCATGCGCGGTGGTATTCGCTTAACATCAGGTTTACGGCTTGCTCACTTGACAACTTTTGACATCATCATTCTCCTGCCCTTATGCCACCTAGGTGGTGTCGGCACAGCTTCTGAATCATGTTGTAAGCGATTTTGGCTATGTTTAACCTCCTTAACAGCATTGAGATTAAAAAAAACAAAAAAAAAAAAGAACGAGCTTCGCAGACGCACGTGTGGCGCGTATGATGTACTCTTCTTTCTCCTTCCTCCTCATCAACTCACTGTGCTTCCTCTCGTTCTTGCACGCGTCCTCGAGCATGAGCAGCGTCTCGCCGGCGCTCCACTCGCCGGGCGACTTGCCCGCGTGCAGCGCCCGCGCCCCGGCCGCCTCGCAACCGCCGCCGCCCGCCCACTCCTCCATCGACACCTTGTCGATTATCAGCCTGCGACATTGATATTGTTGTTGTTAACAATTTTTTTTAATATGAGAAAGTGGCAAACGAGCTGGCGGTTCATCTGTTATTAGTGATAATCGCCGCCCACGAACATTTGCAACACCCGTAGCGTTGCAAATGCGTTGCCTTTAAATAAAGGCGCCCCCGGCTACCGCACTCACCAGACGAAACGTAGAAGTGTAACACTTCTAGAAATTTAAATTGTTTATAGTGCTAATCTTTGCACTAAAGATTGAACATTAAAATATGTAGAAAAAGTGCGAAAAGATTGTCGCCGCTGTGGGAATCGAACCCACGTCTTCGGCACTCGCGGCCTGACGCTCTAGCCACTGAACTAAACGGCTGATTACCACACCGACAAAAATCTTAATGCGGATTGGTGGACTTCATATATGTTGGAATTTTTTGTATTTCGAAAATATGCAGGTTAGCAAATCCAAACTCAATAAAAATTCTTCATAAAATTCAAATTCTCATAGAAATGTTATGTTAATTTTATTTTATGCCCCGTTTACCTCACTAACCAGACAAATGGAAAAGTATAACACTTCCACTTCACGCCGGTCATTTGTGAGGCCGTGACAGTTCCCGAACGAGCCTACCCATTCCTGTAACGGCTGCGTTGTCCTACCATAGCGATAAAAGTAAGTACGAAACAAGTTTACCTCCTATCGGAGTCGTCCGAGTCGCTCGATTCGCTCCTGTCCCCCGGCGGGAAGGGGGGCAGGGGGATGCTGGCCGCCGATTGGTTTATCTGGCTCGAGAGCTTCTGTATCGTGTCGCTCAGCACCTTGTTGTTCTTGCCCGGAGCGCTGAGCGGCAGCTCTGCTACGCTCTTGCGACGTTCCAGCACGCTCAGAGGACTCTGCAGCCTAGGAGGGGTGGGCTCCTTGCTCTTCGTCTTCTTCATATCGGCCAGGTCGCGCTTCGGGTCCATGAAGTTCGACGGCTCGCCGAATATCGAATCGGCTACGGGGAGCGGGCTTATTTTCTTGATCGGGTCCACCTTGCCCGGCGGTTTTAGAGGCTCCGGCTTGGTGAGAGGCTTGATCGCGGGCGATATTGGAGAAGGCTTCTCGTCTATCGCCGCTAGGGCGTCCTTGCCCGGCGTCAGCGGACGCTCTTCCACCGGCGGCGGGGACATTGACAGTATCTTCGCGCTGTTTATCGCTTTCAGGAGCTTCTCCGCTATCTTGGGGCCTTCGGATTGCAGAAGGAACCCGGGGGGCGGTTCCGGGAGGACGTCGATCCTAGCCGGGCTGTCGGGCTCAGATTTGTCCTCTTCAGTGTCTATCAGGGGGCTGGAGGGTGGTTCCATTTTCGAAATCACTGGATCCGGGTCCAGTTTGTCGATTTTCAACCTCATGCTCTCTTTCGGCTCGGCAGCTGGCAGTGGAATCAGCAGCACTTGGACTTGGTCTTCTTTATCGACCGGTGTAATGCTCTTCTTGGATTCATCGATCGGTTGAGACGTCGCGGTGGGAGATTTAGATGGAACAATTTCGACGCTGGTGTTGGGAAGTTCCAACTTTATTTGAAGTGGGGGTGTTTTCGGCGGTTCAGGAATCTCCTTTGATTGCTCCTCGCTTAAAAGAATAACAATTTCTTCCTTAACCGGTTCGACGTCTTGCGCTTCTTCTTTCATCGGCTCTGATACTTCTGTGACAGAAGTAAGTTCCAAGGTGGGTTCTGGGGGACTCTGTTCGCTCTCCTGTTTAGCCCCTTCGTTTTCATCTTCGGAGGAACGCTCGTCGTCGGCCGGGCTATCTGGCGAGTCGTCGATTAGTTCGCGCAACTTGGTGACCTTGCTCTTCTTAGAGTAGGTCTCCTGATTCTTAGCCGGCGTGAAACCTTCGAAAATGGGCCCCGAGCTGCCGTCGCCTGGGAAAGAGTCGTCGTCCAGCGAGAACAGGCCGTCTTTGGAGTCCTCTTCTGGGCTCTGTCGGTCAGGCAGCTCTCTTGCCGCGGCAAAGTCCCTGAAAGGCGACAGCGATGGCGATCTCAGGGTTGAGGTCCTCGGCCGCAGCGCGTCCTCGGATATCTCCTCGCTGAGCGACTTGGACAGCGTTGACGTGTACTTGCTCGGCGATATGTCGTCGAATATCCGATGGGTGCGCTTCTTCTTCTCGTCGTGCAGTTCGATCTCGAACGGCTCGGGCTCCTTGAACTCGTAAACGTCCTCCGGCTGCTTCTCGGGCTGCGGCGGCTCGGGCGGCTGGAGCGGCGTCTGCATGGGGCTCGGCGCGTTTCGCTCCTTCTGCGTCTCCACCTTGAGCGGCTCCTCGGTCTCCTGCTTGACGCTGTGCAGCCCCTTCAGCTCGGACCTGATCTCGTTCAGATCGTAGTCCCGCCCCTGGTGCTGGTGCTGGTGCTGGGGCTGGTGGCCGGGGATGGCGACGCGCGGCTTCTTGGCGGGCGAGATGAGCGACGGCGTGGAACTCGTGCGCACCGGTCTCTTGCGCGGATTGCTCGAGCCGCTGCTGTCGCTTGATTTCGCATCCTTCGACCTCGGCGGGGCTGAAAGAGAGACGCGTGTTTTGTTTTGAAACAAAATCACCAATACTGCTTTAAAAGTAATATTTAGTTTACTGTGGTACCATGGTGACCGGGGCCAACTGTATTATAAGGTGGCAACGCATCTCCAACCCTACGGGTGTTGTAAATGTCCTTGGGCGGCGGTTATCACGTAACATCAGATGAAGGTAGCTTGCTTGCCACCTTCTCACATAAAAATATTATCATAAAAACTAAATCACTAACGAGCACTACTGCCCTGAATTTAATACGTGCTGTTAACTTATATCCCTCATTGGAATATACGAAAAAGCATGAATTTATAGACGTAAAGACTAACCTAAAAAATAGGAACTTTTTATTAGAGCCGAAAAAATTTTAAGCAGTAAAAATATATATTACGAGGTGGTATTTACTTTAAATCAGGTGAGCCACCTGCTCGTTTGACAAATTTACAAATAAAAAAAAGAATTACTGTAGCAAATTCGATTGTCAATCCCAGTTAGCTTACTTTTAACGCTGGACTTGTCATCAGGTTTCTTCAGCGCCCGCTTTATGTCGTCGTCGCTGTCCGAATCGCTATCTGTATCGGAGCGAGCCGACGATTCTGTGGAAGAAGCGTTTCGTGATCATTTAGCACACATTTAATTAATTTATACCAATTAAAATCTAAAATGCCAATAATTACCTTCAGTCCTTTTACTTCTCGCCCGTCTGCTCAAACTCGTATTCTGAAAGTTCGTAATTGTAATTGAAAACTTTATGCCAGAATTTAACAAATACTTCATGTTAATTATTATTTTTAATGCTAACCTCTGGCATGTGAAATGAAACTCAAAATGTGTAAAAGTTATCTACTATTTTTCTTTAATGGCAGCGGCGAAGTTTTTAGAATAGAATAGAATATACTTTATAGAACACAAGGAGAATACAGTAAACATATTGTACATATAGGAAGTCTTATGGCTAAGGTAGCAATTCTTCCAGGTAAACTTTCGACAATTTATCTTTCTACTATGATTGAGTATGATGATAATTATGATGATTATGAAGCTTATGATGATGATGGTCGGTCAGTGGTCGTTACAAAAAAGAAGCGTTAGTACCCCACGTGCCTTCTTGTTGTGCGCGTCGTGCTGTGTCACGTTGAGGGCGATCCGCTGCGGCTTTATCCACTCGTCGTAGCGTGTGTTCCAGCCGGTGTAGTGGACGCGCAGCATCCCCTCAGAGGAGATCTCTATCACTTTCGCCTCGTACGTGACCTGAACACGAGGGCCGCTTACATACTAATGAAAATAAATCGGAACAAATCAAATCAAATTATTCATCGTAATAACGAATACAAATTTCATCTATCGATGGCAATTTTTTTTTAAATCTACCACCGTTTCGTAATAAGGTCGGGAGCATCACTACGTGACCAATCGCAAAGTGCTAGAACGATTGCTTACAACTAACACCCGAGTATAAAGTCTTGGAAATAAAATATTAGATTAAAATTATTGCTTGAGTCGTTACGACGTGATCAATCGCAAAGTGCAACAACGATTGCTTAATAGCAACACCCGAGTATAAGACATATTACGTTACGACATACGTTTACGTAATTTTTTTTATGACCTATTGTCATAAAAAAACTCAAGCAAAAATTTTTTGCGCCGCTCATAAGGGTTACATTACATACATACATCCATTAATCAAGTTGTTAGTTCAATTCAAGTTAATAGTTGTAATAAATAGTTGCTAAGTCCGTTCACATAAATTCCCTTGGTTTAGAGAAAAATATCTTATTAATTATAATTAACACACAATTTATAAGTATGATATTACAGATATCACACATTTTTTAAGTAAAATATAATTGGCATCGTACCTTCGACTCTGATTGCGTGGGGCCATAGTAAACTTTCAACTTGTCGCCAACCTGAGCTTTTGTATTCACTCCGCCGGAGCGCGTGGACTCGCTCATAGACGGTCTGGAATACGTTGGAATCAATTATTTAAAGATAATAAATTGAACAGAACCATGAAAGATAAAATTTTTTTTTAAATTAATTATAGGAAAAAGGTTGGTCACTGAAATTATGCTGCTTATTAAATACGACGAATGAAAATAATATGACGATACGTAGTAGGATATTCTATTAATAATGATGATTCCCAAAATCGGGATATAATTGTGATCAAGAATTAAAAGGAAGAATTTATAACAGTCAGAGGTAAAACAATGTTGCGACGATGACAACCAGCGCACAAGGGAGAGTATTGCCCTCTCTCTCTAACCGCAATCTAAATCGCTCTCCGTCTTGCTCCTACTGCGCACATTGGTGTACATTCGCGAACAAAATCAACATTCGGTTTTGCTATTTTGAATATTTTTGAGACATTACACGTATTTGCGCTCGGCTTTATCTATTTTAAAGGGGCCAATGTCACTCGGCCATAAATAAGAAATAACTCGGGACTCACTCTGTACTCTTTCTCTTGCGCGGCCTCTTGCTGCTGTTCGACGCGATAGTGTTGCCGCTGCTGGCAGAATTCGCGCTCTGGCTTCGTCGACTTTGCATCTTCTTAGTGGGACCGCACCTGCTGCATTTGCAGAAGATAAATTGGTGCGGTTTCTACTTACATTTCGCCGGAATCACTATAGTGTTATAAAAGGCGACAGGTCGTGAGCGTTTTTATTTTTTTGCCTCTTAGCGACGCAACGTTTCAAAAGATTTGTTTAAAATGGCGATAGCTTTTATGGGTAACACAGCGAAAAGTTGTTGATTGAAAAGTAGATGTTTATAATTCATTAAAGATTTTTCGCATTAACAAGAATACTCCGTTTAATAAGTAAAACGATATTTATTTACCATATTCTTCGGATTTCGTTTTCTGTAGTGTTAGGAACGTCGATTCTTTCGACAATTTCTTTTAGAGAAAAACTGCACACTGCGGGTGGCAGTTAATATTTTGCAATCGGTCCGTGCCGAGGATCGAATGTGGAACCATCGGGGATGTGTATATGCTTACCTAGAGGCACGACCCGAACTATCGCTGTCGGTGGAGGCGTGGGGTCGGCGTGATGCCCTCGGAGTCCCAACGCTCGTACCTTCGCCCGCTGAAAATAGAACCTGAACTCGAATTATGTCCTTAATACTGATTCAGCATTAAGGTCTCTCACAATTTTCTTCTAAGAAGAACCACGCGAGGAAAGCCGCAATTATGTTCACATCTGTATAATAATCAAGAGCAAGGTACATTTTTTTAGCCTACAAAAATAAGTTGTCATCAGCTTTACCACAAAGAGCCAAGTCTCTCGCATCTTTAAATATTGTATTCCTCTATTTGCTTTATTTTCTTCTCTTTCCTTTATTTTCATTTAATATACTATGTATTAAGACATAGAGAGTATTATATACACATGTAAATTTTAATAATGTCATTACTACATTTGTATTGATGCTAGTGTTATGCTTCATAAATAAACATAAATGTACTGATAACTGAGTGTCACAATATTACTTAATTTAAACAGTGTTCATTAATAAAAACAATCGCAATGTCATCATTATTATCTTAACATAGTTAGACCTGTAACTAATATGATTTGGTGGTGCTGTTGCTAAGACGTGTTCCCACACGCCGGTAAAATCTACCATTACCATTAATGATTTAATATACATAATTCACATGTTGTGTTGACCTAATCATATCTAAAGAAGTCTAGTCAGAAAATCTTTTCAAATAGAAAAAACAGGTACACTTTTCAAGTGTGCATTTAACGTTATATTGAAGATTCTAGAAGTACAATAACTTACCTTTAGATAGAAAGGGCCTCCTTTTGGGCGTTCTCTTTTCGTGCGCGTGCGAATCAGTTTTTGTGACCGACAGGCTACGGGTCTTCGACTGCGAGCGAGGTTTAATAACCGCCTTCTCTTCGCCCGTGCTCATCGGCGAACCTTTCTCTTTGTCCTTGTCTTTCTCCTTCTCCTTCTCTTTCTCCTTTTCCCTCTCTTTCTCTTTTTCTTTCTCCTTTTCGACCCTAGGGAATAAGAGTGAGTAAATAACGCAACAGAGTTCAAATAATAAGTTTGTTACTCATTGATAATGTAGTAATAACATCATTTACTTTGGCGCGGTAACAATCAGGGGCTGATTATCGGCACTGTCTTCTTCATCACTTGCTTGAATCTTCTCCTTCGGTTTTTCTATCTTCTCTACTTTGTCCTCTTTTTCACTTTTATCGCTCTTCTCCGTTTCGCTCTTATCCGAATCCTTTTCTTTGCCTCGCTTTTTGAAACAGGAAATAAGTTAATTAAAAGTATATTGCAATATAATAAACAGATGTATAGATTCTCTTCATCAACAAAATCTTATAAAGATTTAGGAAAGTGTAAAGAATAACAATTTAAAAGATTGGCAGAGTGTACAGAACCGTGGTGTGAGGTAATAGGGGGTCATAAGGCACCATGCGGTGAGGAGTACTTACGATGTTCAGAATCAGTGTGGGTACTAAGGGGTCATGAAGCACCAGGTGAAGAGCAGTACCTGCGCCGTACAAGATCGGTCTGGGCTACTAAGGGGTCGTAAGGCACCAGGCAGTGAGGAGTACTTGAGACGTTCAGAATCAGTTTGGGTACTAGGGGTTCATGAAGCACCAGGCGAAGAGCAGTACTTGCGCCGTACAGGATCGGTGTGGGGTACTAGGAGGTCATAAGGCACCAGGTGGTGATAATACCTGCGCCGTACAGAATCGGTGGGGTACTAGGAGGTCATAAGGCACCAGGTGGTGATAATACCTGCGCCGTACAGAATCGGTGTGGTGTACTAGGGTGTCATGAAGCACCGGCCGAAGAGCGGTACCTACGCAGTACAGAATCGGTGTGGGGTACTAGGGGGTGATGAAGCACAAGGCGAAGAGCAGTACCTGCGCCGGCGTGCCGGTGGGCGTGGAGCTGGCCGAGGAGGAGGTGGGCGGCTGCTTGTCGCGGTCGCGGATGAGCGAGCGGCCGGCGGGCGGGGTGCGCGCGCCGCGCGGGTGCGCCACCAGCGTCACGCCCAGCTTCCGGTAGAAGTCCTCGAAGCTGTGCAGGAACCTGTAGCCAACGTTGAAACGTTTCCTTTTGTCAACGTATCGACGTAAAAACTTATCTACCAATAGACGGAATAATGAGTCCTCAAGAGGGAAAAAGTTATCTAGATGATTTATCTACGTATTTTGAAGTTCATTTTAAGTGCAGAGACTAAAAAAAATAGTCTAAATACTTATGACCACTGAAAAGAAGCACAAATTAAATATGATGGATTATAGTATGAATTTAATAATATTTGTTGCCTTTTCCTTTTTTGGAACTTACATGACATTAAATGTTATTTATCGTTAACTTTAACGTAAGAATTTGCTGTAACGTTGTATTTGTTGTTTGTTTGATATTTACTATAGTACAGCCACGCAGATGTTTATGCGCTTGCCTGATTATGCCGTCTCATTTGGGTAATAGAGTATTTACACATTTGCGGTATGCCTGTTAAAGAAAACAGGTCCTGCTCTTTTCAAGATTGATAACTGAACTGCAACTGAACGTAGGAACTTTGCCGACCTATTAGCAAACCTTTAAACTTCCATCAGCAGTAAAATGTCTTTAAGTGATTTTATGGGAAAAATTCAAATAGACATTGAAAATTCAAATTGACATTGAATTAGTCTTAAATCTCACCATGTATCACCAAGGGGCAGATAAAAAATGCTAAAAAAATATCACGTGATTAATGGACCGTAAGTACTTTAAACAGATTCAAGTCATTTGTTGGCTTGTTCTAAAATCAGACAGAAATTATCAAACTCTCTGACTACAATACAACTTGTTTTCTCTCTATTATATTTTCGTCAATCAGAAAATTAATTTTAGATTTAAGTTGGAACATAGCCATGAATTCTATAACTACAGTTGTTTTCATCTTTATGTCTTGATCCCCTTTCCAAGGGGTCTAATTTTGTAATTGTGTAATGTCAGTGAAGAAATAAAAAAACGATACTTACTTTTTATATGCTTGTTTACAGAGATTTGTGATACTTGTTGTAACAGGATGAAAGCCCATTTTATCTGCAATAGTCTTCCACTGGTTTTGGTTGGTTACTCGATTATATCCACCAAGTTTTTGAACAACCTTTTAAAGAACAATTTATAAATAGTCTTCATTCCATTTTATAATAATTGAATTGCCCTGGATATTTTTAATAACAATATTCACCATATTAATGCAAACAAATAAATTGCAATATGTTTGGATAGGAAAGAGGTACAACTGATTAAACTGACAATTAAATAATTGTAACTTATATTTACAAAACAAAATAACACCTGGAACTTAGACTTAAACACAACAAACATAAAATGCAAGTTGCTTTTTTTCCTATATAATTGATTAATCTTTGTAACTTTTTAATATTATATGTGAATTATAGACATTTAAAATAGACTTACACGAAATAATCTATAAAGATCAATATCCCGATTGGCAATAGTGGGATTCCTGTTGAGCGGAGTGCCTCTGTCATCCATGAACTTGTACAGTTGAGCAACGAAGTGGTCTTTCTCCTCGCGCGGTTCATCATCTGAGCTCTGTAATGGATAAGGAAAAATATAAAGTCAATATGAAAGTAAAAGAAAATACATATTGAAGATGTAATCAGTAGTGTGATAGCCTTGTAAAATCATTGTTAAGAAAATGAAAAAAAGTAATGATTAAATAATATGTTTTCATATATATCTGTAACATATATGCTAGCGGTAAGAGCCATGCTGTGATATTTTATTTCATACTGCCCATGTACTTCTCTAAAAATTTTATTAAATATTCTCATAGAAAAATAAGTAATTCATCAAATAATAAATATTTAATTGTGGTTAGAAAGGCTATGTTATGGAGATAAAGATGGAATATATAATGCAAAAATTGCAATTTGTGGACCTTATCCTTTGATTAAGAAGACATGGTAGTTTTTTGTAACATATAACCTACTTTGATGTTTAGTATTTACTTGATTTGCATTAGTCAACATTTGCAATTACTGAATTTATATTATTCACCATTTACAAAGGTTTGGGGATGCAAGATAGGGTTACCAAAGAGAAACACGTCATGTTTCTAGTCTTTTTTTTTGTCGATTCGCAATTGCGTCTTCTGCATAATATGTGATGATTTAGCGATTTTATAGCTTTTTAAATCTCGAAATTTGAATGACTTTACAAAACGCATGGCAATGAGGAAAAGACCGGGCATTACAATAGAAATTATGGTCATAAAAAAAAGAATATAATTTGTTCAAAGCTCTAAAGTTTTAATATAAGTTTTAAAATATAATTTATCTGGCTGAGGTAATAATCAGTGGGGACAGAATTGACAATTGCGTTCATCCTCTTCCTGAAGGTCTATATCTCTAGGTTCAACTCACATCATCCGAGGTGTTCCTGGGCTCGTTGAAGAGAGTATCGCGGTCCCAGTGCGGCGGAAGCACGCCGTTGTTGAGGTACTGCAGGGCCGCCTCCACACCGGCCCACTCTAGTGGCGCGCTGCCCTTACGGAATTCGCGCGCCTCTTTCTTCGGCACCGTGTAGCTGCGATCACGAGATACGCACCGTAAGCTAAATATTTGCCGCGTGGGGTATGTTGTATGTTTTCGTCATCGTTGATCAAAAGTTGAAGCCGAAGATTTGAAAAGCATGATGAGCGAAATATATATTATAATAAGTAAATTACTCCGTGGCGCAGTCGCGAGTTATGGAATTTATAGCAGAAAACTATTTGTATCCAAGCATTATAATAGTCGCGGAAGTGGCGGCACTCGCAGAATGCCAAATTGCATTGGTGCGGACCAAAAGAGCAATTAATAATAATTGATGTTTGCCCAAGACTAAGTTTTGCATGGGCCATTGTGCATGAACTTGGCGGGCAGTATTGTATATGAAGCGCTTAACGGTATTGCTTGGCCTGTTTCTGTCTCACTCACTATCGGCCGTCCTTGAAGGAGCGCACGAGGTAGTCCTCCTTGACCTTGATCTGGGCGGTGGGCGCCACGACGAGGGCGGGGAAGGCGGGCTGGTGGGGGCGGCGACGCTCCGCCCCGCTGCCCGCCTCCACCAACACCACCCGCCCCACGTGCGGCTCGCTGTCGGCCTTCACGCGACGCGATACGCCTTCGCCCTCGCTCTCCTCAGACCTGTACATGATGGTGCATCTATAAAAAGCGGCCGGATTAAAAATCCTCATAATGTTTCGCCGAGAGTGGTATGAATATATGTTACACATTTATGTGAGTGAAAATCATTAGCCATAACAAGGTAACACAACATATTAGAACTGATATACTGACATACGAACTGAAGATATTAATATTTAATTTCTTCCTAAGCTACTCAAGCATTCAATTAGCAGATTATCATGTACAGGCAAGAAACTTGCACCGTGTAAATGGGCCTTAAATGAACACACATTTATCGCTACTTGCCAATAATCATAAAAAAATATAAACGTTAAAAAATCCATAATTATAACAAAATAATTCTCAAACAAACTAATTAAATAAACAAGAAACAAAATTTGTAATATCCTATACAACTACAAGTGACTGATTCATACGTTCAGAGTCTTTTATTCGTTAAGAGCCGTGATAGCTAAGACCCGTTATAGCTCAGTGTCCGGGCGCTCGCCTTTAATTCAATATACTTGAGCAACCTGAGTTCGATCCCTAGTGCCGGCACCAATGAAGTTTTTAACCTTAAGTGCCGACTTATCACGTGCTCCGCGGTGAAGGAAAACATCGTGAGGAAACCTGCATAGTTTCGAAATAATAACAAAAAAAATATTTTTCTAAGATATGTGATGTCCGCCAATCCGTAGTGGGGCCGCGTGGTGGACTATGCCCTAATGTACAAAAGAGGTCAGCATGCAGTGGAACATGTATAGGCTGTCACTTTACTTTTTTTCATTTGTTGCCACAACGTCGCATTACAAGTCTCTTCTTCTAACAGTATATTTTGTCTTGTAAGGGTGTTTTAAAATTATTTGTTTTGGAAAATTTAATAACTCTGTAAACATTGATGTTTAAAGAAAGTAAATATTTTATTAATAATATATTTTTTTAATAATATTATTTAATAATTTTATTAATAATATTTATATAATAATTTATTATTATCAGAAAGTTATTCTCTATATGTGTGCTGATCTGTTGTGTTAGTAGCACCACACTGTATACTAGTTGACTTAATTATTATTATTATTATTTAGTATTCATTATTTTTACAACTATGTGCCTATGGGCTGGTTTTAGCTCAGTAAAACTTGATTTTTTTTCAGTTCTTAATCTGTTTTCTACAATAATAAGAATTTTTAACGCACTGAGCTCTCCCTCTTCTGCCGCGCCTACCAGCTATGACCGGGGTGGAAAAATGCTCTGGGTGCGTCAATGGCAACTGATCTAGGGTTTCACTTTCATTGAAATGTCGCCCACTTTTAAGACACAGAGCGGACCGGCGTAATGTTGTTATGTCGCCATCATCAAAAACTGAAAGGACATGAAAGAAAAAAGTTTCAATATAGGTTAAACACAACAATTTTCATTATTAAGATCATTTATGGAGGTAATTTTCAATGTTTAGTGAATTGAAGATTTAGAATAAGAGAATTTTGTGTCCTTTTCATACATATATAATTATAATTCTCAAATTTTTATTTTTAAGTAAAGTTGTACAATAGGAGCCATTTTTAATATATGTTACATAAAATAAAAGGAAGTTAAAGACTATAATTGGTAGGCTCCAAAACTAATGTATAGTTTAACAACTACTCCATTGAGTCCTCCTCCTTCTAATACTGTCATAAAAGAGCAAGTTAGATCATAGGCTTCTTCTATTGAAGTCAAAATTGCTATTTAAATTTCTTTCAATCAGTATTTGGCCACATCCACCACTACAGAATTGGCAGTGGATATCATCAAATATTTATTTATTTATTTAATCATTATTGCCAACCTTCAGTAAAACAAGGTAAGAATGGGCGGACTTAATGTCCAAAGGCATTCTCTACCAGTCAACCCAGGATGTGGTGAGAGTTTATGGTAGGTGCAGCAAAAGATGCAAGAATAATAAAATTTTAATTAAAGAGAATATACAGCGTGTCGTTACCATCGCGACAATAAATGAACACACGCCTAACGCTACTTGCCAATAATCATAAAAGAATATTAAGTTAAACAAAATCCATAATTAAAAAAAATATTTTTCAAACAAACTAATTAAGTAAAAAAGAAACAAAATTTGTAACACCTATACAACTCGCGCCACAGCGTCGCATTACAACCCTCTCCTTCTAACAGTATGTTTTGTCTCTTTTAAATTCATTCAACCCATTCATATGCTTTGTGACCTTTACAAATGAACTTTACGTTACGCTTTTATAGGTAAGGGTGTTCTAAAATTCTTTGTTTTGGCAAATTTAATAACTCTGTATATATTGATGTTTAAAGAATTTAAATGTTTAATACAATTTTAAAAAGTTATCCCCTATATGTGTGTTCATTTATTGTTGCGATGGTAACAACACGCTGTATATATTTATTGTAATTATATATGTATATATGTATGAATCAGATCATAGTAACAGTTAATGCAATTGGAATTTTCTGAATCTTCAGTATATTATAATTTTAGGAACAATTGTGTTTATTTATTTATAATATAAAATTTAAAAAATAAAAGGAATTTCTTACCAACGGTGTATTGGCTACAGTCTTGTATCTTAGTTATGACAGCTTCCATTGCATCTTTTTTAGGATCCTGTTTTACCTCAACAGTGCTACCTACTCGCAGCGTGCCCTTAATCATATCATCATTCACTGTGGTGATTCCACCAGCTTTAAGAGTCACCTTAAAAGGATATATTATTAGGTTAATATACTGGTAGGCAATAATTAATCAAAATGGCATGACATTGAATATTGTCTGAATCCAGAAGAGAAAATTTATTTACCTTGCATTTTATGTTACGAACAACCTTCTTTATTTTAGCTTCACAAAATGCACCCTTGTATTTCGCACTTACATCAGTCCCGACCGGCAAGAAAGGCGGATCATCACCCTGCTAAAATAATAAGGGGATAATTATAAATCACTGATACCATTATCCATTATAATGGAAATTCGTGATATATTAATGACTTACCATGATTAGCGTAGTCTTTGACTTAAACTTACGCGTCTTTTATATATCCTAAAATACAATACGTAAAACAAAAATAACAAATACTTTGAAAATAGTACATTTAATTGCTTTGTACTAAATCGAAATCAAAGAATCGAAAAGACATAATATTTTGGGTGATAGTAACCGTAACCATTCTGTTAAAAGAATAAGGGCTAATATAAACTCAGTTAACAATATAAATAAAAGTAAAAAGAAAGAAATCTAAATAATAATAGGATTCTAAAAGTTGTTGACTGCGCGGCAATTTAAATATTGTTTTCCTAGAAACCTCTTTAATGTTATGAATAAAGTTTAATTCACAACTACCGACGATAACACTCGAGTTAAATTGAAAAAAATTCACATCTTTTATGAATTAACAATTACTAATTAGTAAATAAATTGCTGAATGGAACCAATCACGTACACCATCTTCGAAAAGTGACAATGACATCTTTCGTTACATTTATTTTATTTTATTGTTGCCATTGAAAATATTTAATTTTAGGGACAATTTATAGAGTGCAGATAGTGCAGAGATATACATATTTTATTAAGATGTACATATACATATTTAATATTTTTATATTTTTTATAAGGATATTTGTGTTATATTTACACAAAATTTGTTTGTTGTTAGCTTAACGACTTTCACAGATTCGCTAGAAGAGGTCCGTAAGTAAACGAACCGTGGAACCGTCCGCCTACTGCGCTGTATTTCCGCTCTGAGACCACTGTAGACGAGAAATGGAAAATCGTCTACGAAATTCGAACCTAATTAAACGCAATCGATAGTGGAACCTAACCAGGGAAAGTAATTTATTTAATCACGGGATATAAAGCTTAAAAATATCGCTTAATTAGAATTAATTCAATAATTCAAATGAATTTAAATTGTACTGTACCCACATGAAATAACTATTTCCGGGACCCACAGATAATTGTTTCGGATCTGGTTGGATTATTCACGTGTATGTAAAAATGTCCTTACAACACAGGCTAATTTTATGTCGAGTTTAGGCTGCGAAACATGGACTTCGTTTGCATTCGCTAGGGAACGCCTAGTGAGTGCGAATGAATGCTTGTGTCTATAACTAAACATTGTCGGGTGGTGCCGAGGAAATAAATTAGCAGGCAGGGTTGGATTTAGGTATGATGAAAAATATAGTACAAAAAATTCAGAAGGATAGTATTTGTAAAAAATTATAGTACATTTTATAATTTTGATTTTAACACGCAATAATTTACTTCTCTTCCAAGTTTATCGTTTCTTTAATATTAGTTTTATCCTTAGAATTTAATCTTGTTAACATATCCTCAGTAAGAATAAAATCAGTACAATTATTAATTTTGTTATCATCATTGATAGCGTCACAACACAGTGAAATGGCGTCTATGGATTATGTTTATTTCTTATCTTAGTTTAGGAAATAATAAATTAGTTACGACTAATAGTACGCTATTAGACACTTATGTCACATATCTGATACTACGCTATTAGACACCTATGAACTCTACTATTAGATACTTCATGGGGCAATATGCCAAGTTACTCTTGAACAAGCTAAGTATTGAAAGAAAAAACTATATTTAACGGGAAGTCCCCGTAAATAGTTCATGGATAAAGATTATTTATAATTCGTATTCGTAGCTACGTCTTCTTAAGTAAATTAAGAATTACCGTGTTGCAAGGGTAAAATTTTGGTGTTTCTAGACAAAAAGTGAATCTAATCTGCTAAAAGTGTATCGTGTAATTTTTCAAAGGAAATAATAAAATGCTTTTTTAATTACAAGCCGAAGAAAATTTAAATCACATATGAAACATTGAACGCAAATCACTAAAAAAATTCAGACCGTAAAATGTCTCTCTATCGTTATATATATATATATATATAATTCTACTGTATTTAAACGGCTGGACCGATTTTAATGAAATTTTGGTACTGATATATTATATAAATAATATAAGAAATATTAATAAGACTGGTTTAGATTCACAATTTTTTTTAAGTTATCGGATTTAAGTTGTGTGTACAAGACATCGTCTACAGAGTCCGCTAGTTACTTTTAAATTGCGATTATTCTAAGATAAAAGCTTGAATTTGTTTAAACAGTTCTTAGATTTAAATGGTTACTACAAATTTTAATGCGTAAAAATTTTACGTCGTTCATCCATTACACTTACAAATTTCACTCCTTTCGATATTTAAATAAGGACGAGAATAAATTGCGTCGAGATAAGCTTTTAGAAATTGGTGATTCCCCTGGAATTCTCAGCAACCAGGAGTATTGCTGCCATTAAAAATATTTAGTTGACTGACTGAGATTCGTCTTGCGCATTACATGATGAAATATTTTTAATTACTGTATAATAAGGTGATTTATGACACGGTAATACGTTATTACCTTGACGGTAGGTAGATAAAAACTAGATTACCGTGCATCGACGGTAATTACCGTGTATATGGAGATGCTGATTCGTGGTAATAATTGACAATTACACGTGGTAATATCCACTTTGTATTAATTAAAAACATAACAGCGTTATTACAACCCAATAAACCTTTTTTAATATTGGATTTAAATTATAGTATTTTTCCGTACTATCCTAAGATAGTATGGGAAAATACCCTGAAACACGTTTAAATAAATTATATAAAACGTGATTTTGTTTGATTGGGCAGCACTGTGACTAGCAGCCTCGTTTATATAAGTACTCTAACTCTATGCGGTCTTTCGTATTTGTTATCTACAAACGTAGTGGTTATATTCTCTTTGTTATCTACGCGAATTGCGAATGACACTAATGAACATTGAACACGTCAAAATTAGTTTTTTGATTCAGCGACTGATACGAAACGATGTTTTGAAAATGTTTTTGTTGACAATTATACCGTTTTGGAGTGCTTAGAAAATTCCCAAGATATTTCTTATGAAAATTTTGAGTGTTTTAATGTGTCGGACATATTGAGTTAATAACAAAATGAAGGCTTTAGTTGCAACCGTAATCAGTCTTGCTCTTACGACTGTGGTAATCGGCAATGCCTATTACCAAAAGAAACAGTTTTATCCATCAATAGTTTACCTTACAAATTCAAATCCTAGTATGGCTGTAAGTCTGTATACTATTTTACCGAGGGACTCCTCGAAAGCTGTTGTTCAAATTCAATATGTTTCAAGTATCATTTCTCAGTAATTTCTTATTATTGTACATAATAATAATAATACACATATAGCCTTTTTTACTAATATCAAATCTACTTGTTTGACTTATAGTCGTTACAATTGCAGGTAATGTACTTACAAGGCCTTATCCTTGTTATTCTGGTTGGTAAACTATTAAGAAGAATATTCTTTGGACAACTTCGACCAGCAGAATTTGAGGCAAGTACTTAAAACATGTTTCGGATGATTTTGAAGTACTGATGGTTTAAATTGCTCCTTAAGGTATAATTATGATTATAATCCTCTAGATATAAAATATGGATGTGGATTATAAACATATCAAATTTTAATTTCTGTTGTAACATAGAATATGGAAGAAAATTCATTTCAATAGTTGTTTAATTTTGTACTTCCAAGTCACATTATTAATTACATATTTTCTTTTGCAGCATTTAATAGAACGATCTTGGTATGCTATAACAGAGACTTGTCTAGCCTTTACAGTCTTTAGGGATGATTTTAACCCTAAATTTATTGCCTTATTTACTCTTTTGCTATTTTTAAAAGCATTCCATTGGCTTGCTGAGGATAGAGTTGACTATGTAAGTTTTATAATAACAAATTTATTAATTGTGTAAATGAATCAAAAAGCATGGGAATTTTTTTAACTATTTTTCAGATGGAGAGAAGTCCAGTCATTGGTTGGTTGTTCCATGTGCGAATACTTACTCTGCTAACATTACTGACACAGGCAGACCTGATTTTTATCCATCATGCTTACCAATTTACTACATCCAAAGGTCCATCAGTGCAATTGGTGTTTGGATTTGAATACAGTATCTTGATCATTATGATTGTTAATATTTTGATTAAGGTTAGCACCTTTCCTATTTGTGTGAAATGTTTAAGTTTACCAATTATATAATCTAATTTTAATTCAAAAATTTTAACTTAATTTTTAATGATGACTCTGTGGCGCAGTTGCCAAGGTATTGACTTCGGCATCGGTATTCGTGGGTTCAATCTCCACACGGGATAACTAATATGAAACAACTATATGTGTGACCCACATATAGTTGTTTCGTATCTGGCAAATGTGCGGGAAGTCGATGGATGCAGGTGGCTCAGGATCGTACTTCGTGGCAGTCTGTGGGGGAGGCCTATGTTCAGCAGTGGACTCAAACAGGCTGAAATGATGATGATGATGATCTGGCTGTTTGTCCACATTAAATTTGTGTTTGTTAAAACACCCTTACAACACAGGATAATGTTATCCGTAAAGTAAGCGAATGTTTTAAAAAAAAAATAAGAAAAAAAATTACTGTGGCAACTTAACAAAAATTTATTTGGATAAACCTCAATTCATACATCCTACATTAAATTCTTTAAATACAGTCATGATAACAAAATTATATAGTAAACTGCAAAAATCATAAGATGTACATATGATGTAACAAGAGCTGTGGATTTTGTGTGAGATAAAAATAAATTTATTATTTATTAACTTACAGTATCTCTTGCATGCCATTGATGCCCGATGGGAGGCTCCATGGGAAAGCAAAGCAGCTGTTTTGCTGTACACAGAGTTGGCAATAAATTTTTTTAAAGTACTACTTTATATCGGATTTGTTGCTGTTATGGTCAGGATATATACATTGCCTCTCTTTGCATTTAGACCAATGTATGAAACCATGAGGTAAGGTGATATAATGTAATGTAATTAATCTTTATATCAAACTTTAGCTCTATATAAAGTTAAATAATTTTTTTGATTCCCTTATGTATATCATAGAAGTTTCAAGAAAGCCTACAATGACGTAGTGCTTTCTCGACGTGCAATAAGAAACATGAACACTCTGTATCCCGACGCCACGCCGGCTGAGCTAGCAGCCGCTGATAACGAGTGCATCATTTGTCGAGAGGAAATGCACAGCGGTGAGTTTATATTTAATTAATGCTTTGTATTTAAATGTATTGTATCATAGTAGTTAAATACAATTTTTGGTGTCTTGAGTAAAGGAAAGCAATGAAAGAGTATTTATTACGAAATTTTAAAAGGATGTTGAAGGTAAAGCCATCATATAAAGAAAACATTATTATTACATTCAAATTCATAAACATGATACATTTTATAAAACAAAAGTTGTGTTGACCTTACAAAAGTATTTAGCATATTATACAACACAACAAGGTAAGTGAAACTTGATTCAAATACTGTTTTTGTGAGCAATTATTACCTTTGCTGGGCTAAGGTCAATGTGTGTTGCTTGTTAAAACAATGTTGAAGAAAGCTTTGGTATAAAGTAACTACTAAAAACTGATTAATACTAAAACATTATGTTTTACTAACATTTTTATTAATTTTTTAAGTTCCATTTTAATGAGACATTTTTCAAAATTTTAATCTTTCATTTCGGTAAAACTAGAAAAATAAAGTAATAATAATAAAATGTTACAAATGGACAATAATTTAATTTGATTTATCATGAATGTAATAACCTGAAAATGTCTTTGCACTAATTTATCACTATCCCTATACACAAAAGCTTATCTTTCTTCATGTGTGGTAACATATTTAAATGAATATGTATATTATCATATATGTAAATATTTCGTATCACTTTGAAGATTATCTGGCAACCATCGTTGTTGGTCTTGATTTTTTTATAAGTAGTTAAAGTTATTATTTTAATTCTATTGAATTAAAGCATTAATGGTTTCAAACAGAACCAACGTTTTTACTTTTGTAACAAATTCAATGAATATAGATAGTACTTTATGTTGCAGTTATTTCTTAGCTTGCACGGTTTAACCCTAGCCCTAGTATCTAACTGGAAGCCTCAAAACAATATTTATTGAATAATACAGTTTTAAATTATATATTTCGTTTTGTCAATGGATTATCATAAAACATAGTGTTTTATATAGGTGCCAAGAAGTTGCCGTGCAACCACATATTCCACGCAGCATGCCTCCGGCTGTGGTTCCAGCGCCAGCAAACATGCCCGACGTGCCGACTCAACGTACTACGAGCGCCAGCACCAGACACCCCGCACGGTCCCGCCGATGCCCCTCACGTCAATGCACCACCCGGCAATGTGCCCGCTGGCAATGTGCCAGTCGGCAATATTCCGCACGGCAATGTGCCGGCTGGCAATGCAGCAGCTCCCCCGCCTGCAGCAAATATTGTACCCCCGCCGTTCCCCAACATGCCGCCACGTATGTATTTTAAATAGTTTATTGTTTTCATGTTTTATTCGTAATATACAAAAAGGTGTAGGTTTTCTTTTGATAACTCTTCTAATTAGCTGAAACACGTGCGACGCCTCGCTCTAACGTTCCTCTGTACGAGTTGATAAGGTTTGTTGGTTTTTGTCGTTGTTTAAAGGCGCCTCAGTCGATTTCTGAGCCGCGCACTGACTTACCGAGCAACCGCGCGTGGCAGCCTCGGACTTTTACCGCGCGATGCAGTCGCGGCAAGGCCGAGCCGAACCGAATATTATATTTAGTTTCGCTCAAGATCGTTATGAGGCCGCATGTCCGGAACGCTTTTGCCACCATTTCAATTACAATAATTTTTCGGCTTGTTAAAAAAAAGAAAAGAAAAAGGTGTTTGTATTAAAAAGATATATGAAAATAGATCATAATCTGGTAACATAATACTGTTTACCAAGTTCTGCTTCAATTATGAAGTTTTTTTCCTCTTGAATTTTCCCCACTATAATGAATAACATATATAATTTCATTTTATTACATTTATTTACATTAATTTTATTTTATTATATTATAATTCCTATAATTTTCCCTCCCATAAGAACCTAGCAGTTTTATCATCTTTATTAGATTCCGTTACAGGAATGCATATTTTCTTAGCCCTCTATTAGTATAATAGGGATATTACGAATCACACAGTCCTGTATATTCACTGTCATAGGTGGCCCTATGACATAACACGTATGGGCAGGTCCATCCGGGTAAGTACGAAGGAAATGCTGGGTATGTTTTCTAGAATGGATAATCATAATAAAAATTGTGAACCTTCTTCGAATCTGTACACTACCAAACACCAAGGTCCAGCATCAAAATCATCATTCATGGAAGTCATGCAAGAACCACCCAGCAGCAAACAAAATCCCAGCATATCTTAGTTTAATTTTATTTTTCATATGTTTCTTATTGGAATATTGAAAAAGGAAAAGTTTTTGTAATAAAACTATTACATAACTAGATATAGGTACTTATGTATTGTGCATTTTGATAGTATAAAATATAATCCCTCCAGTGTTATAGCTTCAAGTTTTTTTTTTATAGGTTAATAATTCTTGTGGGAGTGATGTATTCAGATTTTACCATTTTCTATTAAATCTCTATGATAGAAATTTTGTAATAATTTGAATCCAATATAGAGTGACTTGAATCCTCTAATGAGAATTTGCAACATTTTCTCTGTCTGTTTGTTAGGGTTCTGTATAAAACTATATTACATAGTTCTCGCTAATTATTTTTATCCATCATGAAATTGTTTTACATTTATTATTAAAGTTTTTTTTATAGTTCAAGTAATAAGTTATCACCAAGTATTAGGATGGGGTTGATACTTATGAGATGTTTGCAGCTATGATGGCGTGGGGTATGCCGCCCCCACCACCGCGGCCCGCATCTCTTGCCAACCTCACCGCCGCTGAGCTGCAGCGCTTAGAAGGCAACGAGCGTAGAAATGTTGAGGCGCGACTGCAGGTCTCAGATTTAATCTTCTCCTTTCTTCAAGTATTACTTAACCAAAGATTTTAGAAACCCTGTAAACAACAGGGGGAGCTGTTATATATTCTCTTAATCTCTTATAAATCTCTGAATGTCCATATATATATATATAGATATACTCTTTCATTAATACTTCTAGAGGGCACACAACTGCTGGTTTATTTAATTTAACATATAAAAACATTCAAATTTGTCACGCTGGTGGAGGTGTCAAACAATTGTAATTCTGCTGTTTGACACCTCTTCCGTTACTAACATGTGCATTTCATACAAATTTCAGTTTTTCGTAATTTTAGTATTAAAGTGTATTTAACGTAAACTGTAATGTATAAACATCAATTCTGGCTCCTTAAGTTATACCAAACAATAATATTTATGAAATATACAACTAATTACAAAATATGTACAACCTGCATTAAATGTCGTTTTTTACTTTGTGTACTACACCAATAATTCCTATTTATTTTTATCAGTTGCTCCGCGAAATCCAGGCAATGTTGGATGCATCAGTGCTTCTAATGCAACAGTATTCTATGGTTGTATCCAACCTACCGCAGAACTCCACAACTGTTGCTACCCAAACCGAAACATTGTGAGTATATATTGTCCTGCATGTGGTTTTAATAAAATTGTAAACATTACAAATAATCATCCATATACGTATAAATAAAATAATTTTGATTCATATTTTTTTTAAATATATAGATATATTTATTTTAAAAATCACTAAATTATCTTAACTTGTATAAAATAAATACAAAGTTATTAGTTATATCACTAAACAAATAGCATAACAGTAGACTGTGATTGTATCCATAAATGATGTTTTTAGTCATTACAAGGCTTCAAATTTATATTATGAAATATGCTGTCCAGTCAAACGGAACCCTCTTCAGAAGCGACTCCCATGAAAGTTAAAGCTGATCCCGATGTGGTGCCTACCACTTCTACATACAAAGGCACTGGAACTCCATCAACAAGCTCTGCGCCAGATCCAGGAAATGTTGAAGATGTCACTTCTACTGATTCTAGTAATAGTGTGAAAAGGTAAAATCATATTTTAGATTCACAACACAATGTATGTAGGATTTCAGGCTATTTTTTTTATCAGTCCATCTTACTTCACTGTTATAGATGTGTTAAAAATAAATACAGCTAGTTTTGAATAATTTTTATTGATTTATATATTATTGTTTTTTTTAAATACAGTTATTACTGTTTTCTAATAAAATAAATAATATTGTTGTAGAGAGAAGACTGACGCGGACGCCGAGGAACTACGAAGACGCCGATTGCAGAAGTTTACAATGGAAAAATGAGCCTGACTTTTACAAACTGTCAGATCAACACCTCAACTTGCTATTAATTTTAATGTAAAGTGTTTTGGTATGCAAGCATTGTGTATTCTAATCGAAAAAAAAATGTATTTATGTTTTTGTAAATATAAAAAGATATACACATGAATACATTTAAATACTACTTTATTTTTTTACACACTTCTTTGAATTCTACTAACTTAGTGAAATAAACAATAATTTAAACAATCATCATTCAACATTTTGACTACATATTTTAGCAATTGTAAAAAGCATTAATATAGCCATACACTTTTGGGTTGTAGTTTTCTAAGACAGGCATGCCATTGAAGTAACCACTCCGGTCATACAGTTTGATATTGTTTTTGCAATACCACTCATTTTTTGTACCATCAACACCATCAACATTTAATGTGTTTAATTTCAAGACACCAAAGTGGTATTTCTGTCCATCAGTTTGTATGCAATTAACAAAAATTGGTTCTGGCAGGTCTTGAACTTCTTCCTGTAAAAGTTGATTATTTATATATTTGTTAAGCAATAAAAGAAATTTGATTATTTCATGTTCAAATTTTTTTTTATTCTAGCTTAGCACTATTTTTTTTTGTTTCAGTTTTTTTTTTCAAAACATGTTCAATCCCATTAAACAAGAGAGTGAATTACGCAAATAGAAGTATTTGCACATGTTTGATTTCACAAGTATTTTCTACAGAAACATTATCAGCAAATTAGAAATCTTGAATTATGTGGTAGAGATGGATATTATTGTATATAATAATTATGTATCTCTACTCCATGTTATATTTCATAAAAATGTCTCTTCATTAGTTTTAAATAGCTACATCCACTATCTTTTAGTGCAGACTTTTCTTTTACATTTTATATGCAGGCTCATATAGATATATAAATGTAATACATTGGAGTACAATTTACTTACACCGTGAATTTGTTTTGCATATGATGAAGCCACAGTAAATGCATGGGTTAATGCCCTGCCCTCAATTTGCAGGTCTGTTACTGGTGTCTCATAAATGTTGCTGACTTCTGTTCTGTTGAAGTGTAACCAAGTTGTGTGAGGGTGTTTCCTGGTGAAACTTTTCTGGATTGCTGGAATTTAATATAAAAGGGTTAGTTGTAACTAGTGTTCAACAAGTGAGAATATTTCAACCATAATTATTTTTAGAATTTTGGTGAAAACTTATATAATTTCCATTTTTCCAAAATTTTGTAAGTGTTATAAATTTTAACTATGAAAGACATTAAATGAAATAAAAATTAAGTTACCATATTATTATTAACATGAATACTTATTGTCTGTAGGATATGTACAAGAAAAAATTACATATGAATGTTAAAATTGTTTTTTTTTTCTGGGAACAATCTATGGCCAAAGGCAAACCCAAATGAAAATCTATTTAGATATATAAATTAAAATATTTTATTGGATTGAACAAACTGGACCGTGTGACGCACAGGCGATATATACTGCGATCAAAGTTCCGCCGAAATACCAACTAATTTTAATACAAAAGAAATAAACACTTCTTAAAATTGAATTTCATGTCTTCTTCTTTTGTCTTCGTCTCTTTAATGACATTAATACAGCTTAATCAATATTTAAGTGCATATTTTAAAATAATATAGACATCCAAAGCTCATTAAGAAGAGAATCCTTTCTGTATATGTAATAGCAAATTACATAGAAACTTTTTATAGATGGACAGTAAAAACTTATTTTAACCACTTTTTAGTGTTCTTTCAAAGAGTATCAGAAATATTGATTTACTTGTTTTTTTGTTAAGGTACATAAAATTTTTCATACAGGCTACAAGTTATTTTGATAGTGAGAATGATGGGTTTCTATTGATTAATATAGCATCTAATTAATCAATAGAATCTAAATATTTTTAATAAATGTTCTACTCTATATATTATATGTAAATAATTGTAGCTGGTGATTAAGCATTTAGTTCATCAACATCAAGCTAAGTTGTTGGATTTCAATCTATAAGATTTTATTGTTATAGTGTAAAGTATCTAACTAAAACACAATACAGAGTTAAGAGTGGCTAAAAACTTGAAAGGGATTTAAGCATTGTCCAGTTGATAAAAATAGTTGGTAGTGTGATAATACAAAGGATACAATAGATAGACTTACGGTATATACTTGTTTGTTCATAAAAATGTTCAGGTGGTAAAGTTATAGTATGTTTTATAGGATAAAGGTCTGGTATTTCAGCAAATGGAATATCTCTTTCTTTTATGTCATGACTCAATGGCTTTTCACTAGTTACTAGTATATTGGATATATTATGGAATTGTATGAGATCATCTTCTTTGTTAAAAACTGTTTTAGTCTCAACATCGTTTGTAACAAATCTTGTTTGAGACAATTCAAAATCACTACATTTTTCAACAAGCTGCAACAGTTTATTGGTAATTATTTGGCTGAAAAAAGAAAAAATATGGTGAGGATAAATAAATTTATTGCTTCATGATTGTTAGTAAATAAGTAAATACTTTTTGATAGGTTGACAATAAGCGGCCAATATAGATTAATTAAGGTTTTTGTTTTGAGATTTGAAAGTCATGATCAGCATAATATTTCATTTACTTATTTTTATAATATGAATATTCCTTATTAGACACACCTGCTATATATTTTTTTCTCAGTAAATAAAAATAAATGTGTATATAACAAATAAAAAATTTTACTTGCGTCTCCTGTCAGATATCCCCAATATCCTTGGAAAATTGTATGCTGGTCTTAAAGGATCTTTAATTTTAGGTAATTTTTGTTGTTCACAATCAAACACATTTGCTGATAAAATTGCCTTTTTCACACTTTCATGGACAGTTTTTGGTACTGAAATCTCTGCCAGTTCTTCTATTCTATTGGGTAATTTATGTTGAGCTATTATGGTTTTTGTTAGTACTTGTGCTTGAGAAATACCCTCCAGCAGGACATTTTCATTTGTTAATGTCATACAAGGTTTACTCTTGTAGTCACGATGGTTTTCATCTAGTGGAAGTGGCTGTTCATAGGGTCCAATAATATTAATTCTGAAATTTAAAGATATTTTAAACATACATATTAAGTATAAATTTATCTTTTTTTAATATTATCACGATTGAAGCACCATGTAGATGTGCATGTATAGCCCGATTTGGAACAATTCAGTTGGTTGTATTAAGGATTACGGTAAAAAAAATTACCATGATTATTACTACATACTTTTTTATAAACAATATTTTAAAAATATTACATTATTCTTACTATACCTTTCTGTCACCTCGGGTTGTTTAATAAATTCAAGTGCGTCTTGAACGGGAATACCTTTTTCTTTTAGTAAAGATTCCATACCAGTGTCAATAGGAACACGTTTACCTTGAATTAACCAATGTTTCTTGAACATAAACCCTATGTGTTGTCTATTTAATACTTGTGATAATTTCATTTTGCTTTTATCGATAAATTAATGATTATATCTAAACAACAAGTCCGAAGCTTCGAGGTTATGATTTTGACTTTTGACAACTACATACATGAATGAAAACAAAATACATATGGGATCTGTGCAAAGAGTAAAGTTATCTAGAGGAGATCTGTGACCTGCACATACATTAAGTTTTCTAGTATCTGAAGTTACCAAAATAATAAAAATTATAAACTATTATGTCTAACCCTTATAATTTACTAGAAAAACATATCCAGAGAAAGTAATCTGGTCGGAAATGTGATTAATCGAGAAAAATACGCTCGAAAATATCGCTCTAAGATTACTTTAAATACATGATTTATGAATGTAATAAATTTATAAAAACAATTTTTTTTCGAAAATTGTTTACTCATTAAAATTCATGGTAACGGGGTCCCAGACAAACCCGGTTAGATTTGATTGGGAGAGAATGCCGAAAGGCATTAAGTTCGCCCTTTGTAATCCTTGTTTAAGATATTTGCAATAAAGTAATAACAAATAAATATCACTAATGTACGTATTCATGACGAGTTTTTAATAAACGGTATCTCGCTATTGATGAACAATCCAAAAAGGTGGTATCATGAACAGAGGGTACTAGAACATAACCCGCCACACACGGCGGCGGACCGATAGACTTTATAACGGTTCGAAATACTTTTATGCATGATAATTATACTAACCATATTATTTAGTCTATTTTCTTCGCTAAGTTTCCTTTACCACCTTCCTTAAATGCGTGATAGGTTAGAACTTAGAACTTAAAATGTTATGCAACAATTTCTATGGCACCGCCTCTGGCATTAGACTTACGTAAGCACTAACAGTAGTATTGATACAAATAGGATACTACATTTATTTGTAGTCTAATTATTTTTGTGTGTGGGTTTGTTTTATGTTTTATAGAAAAGGAGGCAAACGAGCAAGTAGGCCACAGCATTACCAGAGGAGTCACAAATGCGTTGCTGGCCCTTGAGGTATTTGGCAGTTTGACGCGTCGTACGTTGGCATAATTCAGTAGTATGTATTAATCCGAACAACTACTCTCAGGTTTAAATTGGACTAAGTTCAGAAATTCCTCTACTTAGAAATTTTGTCTAACAAATTTAACTTTAGAGACAAGTTTTTTCCGACATCAGTATTTATATTTTTGAAAAATTACTGCCCCGCCGTTAGATAAAGTATCACCAGTTCTGTCTATGATCTAGTGATGAACGTTGCTAATATGCACAAAATCCAAAATCAGGCGGTATGCAGCTTTATGGGAGACCAGCATTCAAGAAAATAAGAAAGAAGAAATTTCAATCAGGGTCCTCAGAGCGTGCAGCGTTAACAACGACCTTGATGCTCCGACCCGTGAGAGAAGTGGTGATAAATAAATAAAATAAAATAAAAAGCCTTTTATTTCTTCCTATACAATAGAAATTGATAATTTGAAAAAAGAAATAATGTGCCGTTATGTAGAATTAATGAATTATAATTATAAATGCAAGACCCCCTCTCAACGGAAGGTAAAGGCCTCCTCCAGAATTGACCAATGTATTCTGTCCTCTGCTACTCGCATCCAGTAGGTACCTGCTATTTTTTTAATATCGTCTGCCCAGCGCGCATTTGGTCTGCCCCTTTTTCTTTGGCCCGATGGTCCTAACCATGATGTCGTTTTTGTGGTCCAGCGATTGTCAGTAAGTCTGGCTACGTGGCAAGCCCATCGTTATTTTAGCTTCTGTGAGTAACTAAGAGCGTCGATAGTTTTAGTCTTCTGTCTTATAGCAGTATGGCGGATTTTATTGATCTTCTTAATCTTCAGAATGCTTCTTTCCATATTTCCAGGTTTGACAGGCGTATGTTAGTGAGGGGAGTAGGTAAGTGTTCATGACTCTGCTTTTTAGCTTTATGGCCAAGTCGCTTTAAAGAATTTCCTTGAGGCTCCAGAGCTTCTTCCAAGTGATGTTGACTCTTTTCTCTACTTCCAAGTTCGTTGCTGTGTTGGTTAAATGAAATTTGTTTTCCCAGTTAAATGTATGTTAGGTCAAAGGCAGGTCACGACATTAGTTTTCTTAAAGTTTATTTCGAAACCTACTTTACGACTTTCTTCATGTAGAGAGTTTATCATCTGTTGTAGTTGGTTTGTGTTTTCAGATAGCTGAACGATATCGTCAGCGAATCTCAGATGGCTCAGGTAACATCCATTTATGTTAATGCCGACTTTCTCCTGAGAAAACTGGCGACATAATTGCATAATTTCCTAGGAAGCCCATGTGTGTGTGTATATGAGTTCAAGACATCCCTTTTAAACTTACCTTATGAAAAATCCTTAGGAAAATATCTATTGAGTGGAATTAAATATTATAAACTTTTTTACAAAACGAATAATACTCATGCGCATTACTGCAGATTTGTACTGTGAAGAACTGAAGACAATGATTGAGAAGCTCGCACATCTGCAACCAGTTTTTGTCAATCGACTCCGCTGCTCCTTGACGACAACGCGCGATCCCATACTGCACGACAGACAGTCTCCAAGCTGCAAGAGTTGGGGTTGGAAGCTCTCCCTCATCCATCATACTCACAAAATCTTGAACCTACTGACTATTTTCTACCTACCGATCTACTTTTATCAAAATTTGGATGACTTTTTATTGGGAAAATAATTCAATTCCCGAGAGGCAGTATTAGATGTTAAGTGATAACCGCCGCCTATAGACATTTACAACACCCGTTGGGTTCCAGATGCGTTGCCACCATATTATAAAGTAGGTCCCGGCTACCTCACTCACCAGACAAAACGCAGATGTTTAATACTTCCCTGTATATTTTTGATGTATAGTCTTCCTGTTAATTTATGATGTATAGTCGTTAAAGTATAATTAATTACATTTTATTTATGCTGCATGGCGACCAACTTAGACTAGATCTTCGACTAGATTTTACACATTTCAGTATATATGTCTTATCTGTGGACTTGATCATGGTATTACCATCAAATCAATAACAACTTTTTGACATTTAATTATTATAATTCCAAGTTAAATAATTAAACCGTTATCAATTGCATTTAATGACTTTAATACAAACAAAGAGTACTGGGGAAAAGAGTAATAAGGAAATTAGGACTTTTTTTGTTATTTTTCTTTTGTTATGTTATGTTATAGTAAGTTACGGTGGTAGGGCCACGCGACACTGTTGCACGAATGGGCAGGTCCGTCCGGGAAAGTAACACAACCTCACAGAAGACCTTCGTAAAGTAGAAGTGTTAGTTACACTTCTGCGTTTCGTCTGGTGAGTGAGGTAGCCGGGGCCCACTTTATTTCTAGGGGGCAACGCATTTGCAACCGTACGGGTGTTGCAAATGTCCATGGGCGGTGGTTATCACTTAACATCAGGTGAACCACCAGCTCGTTTGCCACTTTCTCACATAAAAAAATTCTTACGTACACATAATTTATTTTCATTTAAATGAGCATGTAAATTATGTATCTAATATATGTCTATAGGATAATTTAAAAAAAACAACATAGTGATTTTGTAAATATATATATTTAATTTTATATCTTCCATCAATACATACAACGACGACATTTATGCGTACATTAAAATTTTGGTGTGAATGTATAGCGTAATGTACATTATCTTGATATGGCCCATAAATATAAAGTTTGAAATTGACACAGTTGAAGTTTAACTTATCCGGCTAAAAATCAATTGGAACGAACGGGGAAGACATTAGAATTTATTATGACAAAACAGAGCACCGTTAGGAAAACATCGAAACACACTACACCGGCTGCGCGCTTCCAACAGAGATGGTATGATATTGATGGAGGAGTAATACTTTACAAAATAAAAACTTATCGAAATATCTTCGGTGTATGCTAGGAGCTATAAAAATTGAAAATAATACATCTAATTAATTTCATAACTAGCTAGATTAAATCCCTTATTACGAGATCAGCGACAAGTTGACGTCACCCGATGTTGCAGCATGTTGTATCATTTCATCTGTTAATTTCAATGGTGCAAGTTCAAGTTTTCAAAATATTATTTTTTAGTTTATGTTTTGAAATAACTTTGAATAGGTTTCGAAAATTACCTAGTTGGCAATTTTACCAAGAGGTGGTTATATTTCCTCCGAAATCTTTGGAATTTAATTTTTTATTTAAAAAAAAAGATAAAATTTTTCCCAATGTCCGTCATTCTAAATATCAATTATTTAACCGCATATTGCAACAATTGCGAATCAAACATACAACACTTAATAACTATTATAATATAATACCTAATTATCTTTATAAAGTAACAAAATTAACTTATATTTACAGTATTATTAAATCGATAGCAGAATTAACTATTTAATCTATGTATATGTTTTATTCGATTCAGTGTTTCGATCCACTGAATTCATTTTTGAATGTGAAATACTAAATTGGGCGAATTAGCGAGAAACGAAAGGAAAACTGTGTTTTTCAGCAATGGCACCGCTACCTTATTTAATTTATGCTTTAATATTGGCAACACAAAATTGACAGAAAACTTTCATTTTAATTTAGAAGTTTCCGCAGCTATCAAAGTGGTATCGTTTCATCGTCTAATTTTAATAAATTATCATTGAAAAGTATTGTTTATCTGCAATCTGTTCGATGTCCCAAAGACGGACACTTTTCTTTACGTCTAATTACGAAACGGAAATAAAGTACTCGTCGATATATTGCACATCGACCTTTGGAAAGAGACAATCGGCCAATTTCAGTTTCGCACAGCGTTTTCTGTTAGTGCACAGTGCGACAGAGACAATGCTCTATGAAGTCGAAATGAGCCAAATGTCTCTTTCCCATGGTCGACGTGCATTATTTATCGCCGCATACTAAATATAAGTAACAACAACGTGTTTTGAAACAGTAAGGCACCGTTGGTCGTGAATGGGTACTTAAATATATATGTTATTAGTATTCATAATAGAACCATAAACGCAGTAAATTTTTATTTATAAGTATAAATTCCACTGGTGGACACTCATGAGATCAAGTCCGACGTAATGAGTGAAAATTTCTTTGAAGTGATTATTTCACGGCAATAATGAGTTCGAAAGTAAGAATTTCTTTTAGATTTTCATACACAGTTTATGCGTAGAAAGATATTAATAATGTATTCTATTAAGACAGAATGTTGCAGACTGGTTCGGTATCGATTCAAATGCCGGTTGCCCCGGTATTTTTTTTATAATACAATAAAATCATGGTTTATATGTCCTCGTAATTTACAGCACCAAAGCATAAAGAATAAACATAAACCTTACGTTTCACCAAAATTCCTTACAATTTTTGAATAATTAAAAAAATCAAATACATGAATCAGTTTAGAATGGATTTTCGTAAACCAGTCTGTAAAAGTGTGTCTGCGAAGCGGATGAGTTTTCTTATTTGCGACGGAGAAATCTCGTGGAGGGCGACGCCTTCCAGAAGTTTCTAATTACAGCCATTATATAGATGAGTATAGAGTGTTCGAAACTAAACGAATTATTGTAGGAGAGGAAAACTTAGGGTCCTGAAGGGGAGTTCGTCTGTAGACTTGCTGGATCCGTGATCAGCTGATCTTGGCGATATTCGATGGTCCAGGGGAAGGGACTTCAATCGTCGTCCTTCTTTTCCATCTTGGGTTCGTACATCGCGTGCAGCTGCTCCGGCGATATCCTGCAACGAGAAGCCACTATTAGGTGATGTAGAACTGCTCCGCTTCTGGAACCCATTTTTTTTGACGAACCGATTGGCGTGGGGAGTAATGAACCCGCCTCTCGCGTCAGTGTGTGGGTTCGATCCCCACTACTGGAAAAATATTCTGTGATGAACATGGTGTTTGTCCAGGGTCTGGGTGTTGATATATGTATAATGTATATTTATTTAGAAAAGAAAAGTATGTTTCAGTATGTTTTATCAATTTTCTTATACCACAGTAAAAGTGATGCTTACTTTGGGACTAGAGAACGTTGTGTAAAGATGTGTCCGAAATATTAAAAAAAAAATTCATGCCACTCAGTTCTAGTTATAGTTATACATCTGGAGCTAACGTTCTTTTACGCTGCAAATGCGAAACGAATTTGTTTGAAATTCGAATATGATGCTTAATTAACGAACGATATACATTTACGAGAGAGCTAAAGGATGGCATGTGTTTTGTTTCATAGCCTTGAGATAAAAACGTTCGCGAAATAAATCCAAAAGATTGGATTCTAAACTATTTTTACGTAAAAAACTGACACTAAAAGATCCCACCGAATATTAGCCGTAAATAAAAAAATAAAGGTACTGTCACACTGCGATAAAATCTTTAAAGTACATTTTCTGTTATACAAGAAAAATCAGTTAAAACATTAAAATATATTTTAACACATTAATGTAAACGCAACCTAATATCAAGCAATTATGCACGCCCCCTGATCCATTACGGTTATAATTATGAACGCATCCTTCTCACAACTATACTGTATAGTGCGAAAGAGACGACACGATAATCTATAACAGTTTATATCGGTAATATATTTTGATTAGCGCGTAATCTCATCTCATCTCGTATTTACATAGTTACAAAAAGTTGCTCCTAAAACAGAACTTTCTCGCGTTTAAAAACCTGATGCGAGACCAGAAAATCTACAGATACACAATATTTCAGTTCTAAAAACTAGTGACCGTCATTATTTTTGAGGTTAGTAACAAAAACGCGGCTTTAGAAATATATGCACCCGATATGATTAAATGCTTCGTATAGTGTTATATTTATTTATTAACTGTTAAAATAAATTCGTTCTATAATGTCCTGTACGTGTTTAAAGAATATCACGTTGCAGAAAAGACTACGAAGAATATTTCAGTCCGCTCAGAATTACTACAATGTAAGCAGAAGCCAAAGCATACTATAGATACTTTTTTCGCAAGTTTTTTCTAAGATGTAATCGAGCGCTTGCACATAATCAGCGTCTTTTATCTTATCCTTTCAACGAGCAATTCTTGTATATAACATATATATGTAATTGGAATCTCGGAAACGGCGCCAGCGATTTTCATGAAATTTAGTATGTGCGTAGATTCGGGGTCGCCCCCGATCGATCTGGCTAGGTTTCATTTTTATAAAATGTCGTTTTATCCCAGTTTTGAGGGAATGAAAAATATCATTCGAATACGACGGTAAATTTCACCGAAAAAAAAATGTTATAATAGCTCCGTCGGTAATAGGGCGGAAGAACAGAAGGCCGTGGTTCGTGTCATGATCATTTACACACTTTTTTTTTCGATTCCAGATCATTGCTTTCTTTATTTTTTGTCGAACCAGATGATTTTGTTCTTTTTTCCCTTTTTTTAAAGTTCTTTCTTTCATATTTTCTGATTATTACGCCGAAAAGATCGAAAAATATTATGCATATTTCATTACTCAGTAATTTGTATGTAAATGTAATTCCCAAAATACACGATTTACAAAAAAAAACAAACCGAACAAAGCTCGGTTCTCCAGGTACTGGAAATTATATTCCGAAATGAAACTGTGTCAGTTTATTGAAACCAATTAGTTTTGTAATACAGAATCGCCTTTACGAGGCGTGTGATTGACGTGATGACTCTATGATAATCTGCACTAATATTGGGCAGTATTAAAACTTTTATTATCCGCTCGTCCTCTAATTTATCGTGGTTTTAAAGTTCAAAAGGAAAATGTGGCAGCGTAGTGTCACTCAGGTAGCCTCGGGCGGGGCTAAGCTCGATAAAAGCGATTAACTTAGGATTAAGCACTTTGTTTATCAAGCGTGTGAAAAAATACAAAAGGACCGTATTCCACATTTGTCCTCTCTAATTTGTTTACGCTTTGTCCGCTGTTATTCAACCCAAAAGTGCCAATCCAGTGTGGCCTCGCACAAATTTAGTATGAAAATGGACGTAAAGAACATTAAGAAACTCTTGCGCACATACTGATTTCGGTAGTAGATGACATCTTTATTTCATTTCAATTAGTGTTTTATTTTATTTTATTTATTAGTTGTATTGAACCTATAGTTGCGTTATCAACCTTTAAAAGGTAGTACAATACTGTGAGGCGGCGAGAGCAGGATTTAGAGGTCTGGAGGCCTCGGGGCAACAAAGGAGTGGAGGACCCTTGGCTCCAAATCATTTTCCATTGGCCGGGGGCTGTAGCGCTCGGTCGCCCTCACCTAAATCCGGCCCTGGAGGCGGCGGTTCTCAACGTTGTAACCAACGCAACAGTCTTCACTATTGCACGAATGGGCAGGTCCATCCGCGGACGTACCACTCACCACCTCACTGAAGACCGGCTTGAAGTGAAAGTGTTACACGCTCTTCGTCTCGTGAGTAGGGTAGTCATCTGCAACCCTACGGGTGTTGCTAATAACAATGGGCGGTTACCGCTTAACAAAATAGCTACCAAAATAGTCACCGTTCCTATCGGGCACCTGGTTTTGTTTAAGGTTGCCTGGAAGAAATTTCTGCATTAGCAATAAGGCTGCCCATATGTATACCATGTTCCTGTATTTTCTTTCTATGTACTACCTTGTGTTCAATAAAGTATATTCTATTCTATTCTAACTGCAGCAATATGGCTCTACAGTACTACTACTAGTTTTATATAAGTTCTAGCTGCCCGGACAGACATCGTTCTGTTTTTTTTAACCTTCCATGGACCTTAAGGAACATCGATGGCTCTTACGCAAAGGGGCGAAACTGCCGCCACCTTTTTCCAATTATCAGCCGAATAAGTTTTTTATTTATAAGTTTGCCATATTCTATGAAAATTAAAAATTAAAAATTTTTTTCTTGTTAAATCCAAAATTAAATTTTAGGCAAATAGGCTTATGTGCACAAATTAGTCGCGTATAAAGCCATGGAACGATCGATCCATGTACGGTGTAGAGTAATCGCGTCGGAGATGTGGCGAAGGGGCGCAGGTACCGCTTCAGCCGTTTTTTCTCAGTTTTTGGCGATTGTCTTTTATAATACCTATGCTCGTCCCTTTTAGCGAAAATTAATAACTTCGCTGGTTTAAACGAAAATGATCCCAAAAAAGGTATTGCAATTTACAAGAGCCCAAAAAATTATAAATAAAATCATAAATAAACACAACAGCATTGATTTAATCATCGAAGACGAGCCTCGTAACCAAAATAATGACACTGAATGTCCAGGTAAGACATAGTTATATATTTACTTTTTAATATATATGTTACCGGCTTACCAACATTCATTTTTATTTATTAAGACTACTAACCCGAGCAGACTCTGCAGATCGCACACGAAGCGGTACACGTAACGCTTGCCCGCAGTCTTGTGGATGATATTCTTGTCGTAGTAGTAGCGGAGGCCTCGCGACAGCTTCTCGTAGTTCATCTTGGGTTTGTTCTTGCGGATGCCCCAACGTCTGGCCACCTTGGGACGAAACATAATCCTGTTACGCTCGGGAATAAGACGACACGACCATATATTACGGATCCAGGGGTGATACAAATTAAAAATATCTTTATTCAAATAGACGCTTGCACGTTCTTATGAAACGACAAATTTCACATAAAAACTGATACATAAAATAACATAAATTCGCAAGAAAGTTAACACCGGTCCGGTAGGCACTTTCTGTTGAGACCGGCAAGAAACACTCTATAGATGATAACTGCAGATTTCTTCCTGTTTACAATTATATATCTATTAAAGATGTTTTTATATATGTATCGAAGTCGATTTAATTGCGATTTTATGTGATGACTTATAAAGTGATCAGTCCTTTTTTTTGAAATAATAATAATAAAAAAAAAAATACAAAGTACGCCAATCCGCGGTGAGGTCACGTCGTGGAATATGCCCTGATAGCCGCTGCACAGAGAATACCTTTAGAACAAGGCCTTAGGCTATTACTGGAGAAAAATGTGAAAGCTCTATCATGCGGTTCTTTGCAACACAAAATGGGGGCATATGTACATATGTATACACAAAATTAATGGTACGGTTGTTTGTTACACGGTTTCCTCATCAACATATCTTCAAACTTTAAGTAGGTACTTCAGAATAGATAAAAGGCAGTTAAATCGGAGTTTTATTATCGGGATAACCACCGATTGTCGGTTTTAATTTAATGACTTAAAGCGGACAGATAAAGATTGTCTTTCATTTATTCGTGTCACATTTTAATTCATGAATCTTTAGCTTAGTTAGTTTTAAAATAATATTATTAAAGAAACTTTCATAAAATATCAACGACGATAAGCAATTTGCCATTGACAATGCGTAAAGAAGTCTTATTAGTTTGTCCATTTAATTTCTTAATAATAAGTTTAAAATATTTGAAACATTACCAATATTGAAGTATACAAAACAGTTTTACGTTTTCTGTTTTATATTCCAAACAAATGCAGATTACGTATAATAAATAAATAAAGATATTTAATTACAATATAATGTGGAATACAATATTTTTAAAACTATTTTTCAAGACATAAAGAATATTTCTTTTGAATAAAGGACTGTAACAGAATTAGAATATGAAACCGAAAATGATTTCAAAGTGTTCAATCTGAAGACCTTTGCGTCCATAATAACTATTGGGAAATCCCATATACAATGGTAAAAAAAAATTAACTTTGCAGTACTAAACTTTTTTATATTTACAAAATTGGGGTAAATTGGTGTAGAAACAATTTTTGATTCAAAACAAGTGAGAAATACTTAACACCTTACATTACGATGCTTCTACGAGAAATGCGCGGAATGCAATCATCCTTACCATCATTTCAGCCTGATTGAGTCCACTGCTGAACCTAAGCCTCAACAGACTGCCAAAAATCTTGAGCCACCTGCGTCGACTACCCGCACGTTTGCAGAAGAGACACTCCATCTAGTAGTAGGGTTAGTCCTTCAGTACGATGAAATATTATTTTGGATCTTACCTCATCAGGGTCAGTCAGCTTGAACTCCCAGCCGTCTCCGGTCCAGGAGATGAACCCTTGGCAGCTCTTGTCCGTGAGCAACTCCAGCAGGAACTGCCACAGTTGGATTGGGCCTGAACCTAAACCGTAAAGGATGCTCGCTTTACTATGTAACAATTGTTGATCATAAACGTCGAGAACGGGTGTGGTTGAATCTGGTGGCGGTAAATATAGTCTTGTCTTCACGCGACATGTAACTGTTACACAAAAGCTAACCAAAGATATCATCCATTTATTTTCTAATATATTCAATATTATTTTTAAGCCTACGTAGATTTTTATTTTTTATGCGACTACATTTTTTAAATCGGATTAAAAAGGATATAAGAAAACGAATTTGTCATTGTCATATAGTTAGAAGCTCACTGGGATGTTAATTTAAAATCGATTACAACACTCGAGGTGAATAGATGGATAAAAGAGAGAACAGACTTATTTTAACTCAATATTATTTAAATGACAAATAACACGTGCAATTGGAGGAAATTTAGATTTATTTATAAGCAACAGATTTATGTCTCATCAAATTCAATACGTATAAGGCGTGAAAATCGGGGGAATTTAGAGCGAGAGCATTGTTAAAAACCGAACAGATTTATGTCTCATCCATGAGTGCAATTGGCGGGAGTTTTACGGGCCATTAAGGTAGTGGTTTGGTAACACATTGGGGCCAGTCTCACCAGTGAAGCAGGGCCCGGACGCCGGGTAAGGCAGCTTGTCCTGCGGTATAAGCGCGTGCTGCTCCGCCGGCCATTCGCTCCAGTCGCAGGCGCCCCCGTACTCCGTCGCGTAGCCCTCGCCGTACACCTCGCCGCCGTACCGTCCCCCGGTGCCTTTAGGAACGCACAAACGTTGAAAACCCGGAATCGACAACATTGAATTTGTCTGAATAGACAATTCCAAACGCAGATGAGACAACCCTTGTTTAAAAAGAAAAGGCTCACTCGACAATACGAAAAAGAAACCAAATTGTTCGTACCAACGCTACACATAGCAGAAATAAGTAGGTAATGTGATACGATATCGGGTATAATCAATCTTTACTTTATAGGCGGTATTATTGTAGTACACTATAAAAGCAAATGTTAAACAGGTACACAGTAAACGAACAGGTAGGTTTTAATTGGAATCATTAATACGACTTAAGTGCTACATCTTGTAACATATGTACCTTTTATTTTTCTATCGCGATAAGTAAGAAGCGGGTAAGAAAATTTACAAAGATAGCTGCAATAAAGTAAATCTCTTTAGTTAAAAGAAGAGATAAGCTGTCTCCAAAAAGCTATTACAATACAGTTAGTGTCAAAAGTGAGGCGTTCCGATGAGATTAAATAACACACTCGATTAGTCGTATCAACGTTAAAAATATCTTGATAGCCCTACATACCTGAGTTGCGTATTACTGATATACAAATTTAGAGATTTAGAGATGTGACAGGTCCGACGTCGTTTACTTTGAAATATTCATTGGTTAAGGTACCTGAACCTGTTTGAATTCTATTGGTCAGATTTAATATAACAACCGAATAAAGGCTTGATGGATGGAAATTGTTTAGGTAGAATAAGAATTAAATTTAAATCGTAATTCATGAATTCTTTTCCCAACAGTCTGTATATCGTGATAGATAAGTATGAAAAAAGTTTCTGTAAAAACAACTGTTTTATTAAACGTTCGCACAATTATAAATGAAATAGAATAGTAATACAAAATAAAGAAAGAATAAGTTTGGTTTCAAATATGTTGGAGAAGTAACAAGATTCCGGACAGATTGGTCCATGGCTGTGACATTCTCGAAAAATACGACGCCGTAATATAATTACGAGATGAAAGAGTTGGGCCCTGTTAATGAGCGTGCATCATGTAACTGAATAAGTTCATTAATTATGTACGTAGCATAAAACTTCTTTGTTGTGTTTATCGTTTTTTGCTGGCTGTTGTTTCTAGAATAATGGTTGCTTTTTGCATATGTTCTAACAAAAGTCTAAATGTCAATTTTAATGCGAGGGAGTAATATAGAGGATGATATAAAATAACAAACGTAATAAAAATCAACTATCTAAAAAGTTATTGCTCTTAATTTGGTTGTGTGCTATAACTTTAACAATGACATAACTTTAACAATGGGTAATTACGAGCCATTCGTATTTCGGGTTGACTTTGAACAAAATGCCATAGGTGAATTTTAACCAAAAACGAGAGTACAATTTGTAGCCAATGGTGTTAAAGTGATAATCAGGCGAATCATTGAGGGAGGCCAAGACTCGTACAATACCACTTTGGTGTAATACTTTCGTAGCGTACGTTGCTAATATATGTACCCTTCGGATACCTTATTCACGATTCTTTATTATAAGGTAATATTATTCTAGTTGCTTCGATCCTTGAATACTGTAAGGCGGTATCCTGATTAAGGATTAATGTTTAACTGATATCCCTTAAGCTTTCAAGTGCATGTATGGTTTAAGCTATACTCGAATTCGAAACGTAACACGAGTGACGTTGTTTTGTCGGCTATAATACAATTAGCCTCAGAAGGCTCTGATTCTGCTGAAACGTTCACGTTCATCATCATCATTCAGCCAGTTAGAAACAGCACTGAACATCTGCGGTGGAGTCTTATTTTCAAATGATGTACAAGTGTTTCCGCACATGGTAAGAAAGGTCCGCACATAGAGGTCAGCACTAGTGTTGCAAACGCGTTGCCAACCTTTCAGAGGATGTACCTTCTGCTACAGTGGTAGGACCACGCATTATTCGCTGTTGCACGAATGGGCACGTCCGTCAGGGGAAGTACGACGACCTCACATAAGATCGACGTGTAGTGGAGGTGTTGTATTTCTTCAATTCGTCTGGTGATTGAGGTAACCGGGGCCCACTTTATCAGAAAGTGGCGACGCATTTGTCACGAAACGAAAGGTAAAAGTATACTAAATTAGGTCGGTCTTTTGGGGCGTGGTTTTTCAGTTTGCCTTGACCGTCTGCCCTTTCAGGCAGTAGCTGAAGTTGCTGATCTGTTGATTCAATTAATAATCTTCATTGAGTACTCACTTCTCGGGTAGGGCTTTGTGTAGGTGTGAGGCTGGTACTTGTGCTCGTGCGTGAGCAGCGGTTGCGCGTGGGCGTGCGCGTGGTGGTAGTAGTCGTCGAGGTAGGGCTGCGGCGGCGCGGCGGGCGCGCCGGACGGGTACTCCGGCGGGTAGTACTCCTCCAGGGGCGAAGCGCCCGGCGCGGATGTGGCGCCGCCCGCCTCGGGGTAGTACGCGCCCGCCTCCCGCGGACCGCCCGTGGTGTAGCCGCCTGTAATATTAGTTTCAATATCTGTATTGTGTGCTCTTTTGCAGGCTGTTGTAATTCTTTTAGCGATATATGCATTCAAATATCTAAAACGAATGGAACGATGGTTGGTTTTCGGTTCTTCCCCGGTCTAAATTAAAGGTTATACGAAGCAACAGCTTAGCGCGAGGCCATTTCACCTTCATAACTAATGATCATCATCATCATTTTAACCTGTTTGAGTCCACTGCAGAACGTAGGCCTCCCCCTCATTGTATTATTATTATTATACTTTATTCTTATTATTTACCGAAGCGAGCTAATGCGCAGTACTGAGGGATACCCGTGTGTTCCGTAGTAGGTCCGTGGGTCCTCGTGTTTTAGTGGGTTAGAATCCCACATAACCTTGTCATGTGAGGGATGACAGGGTATCTTTTGAAGATTTCCTCCTGATAACGAAAAAAAGACCCCACATACTGCCACGAAGCATGACCCTGAGCCACCTGCATCCATAACTAATAATAAGTAATTATTAATATTCTCTCTAATATTCATAAACAAGAAGCCTGCAGCGTTTCTCATGGTTTCCAGCGGCTCTAAGCGATTGTTTTGCCGTAAACGAAAGGACAGTTTGAACATAGTTTACTTACGATACCAACTTATCTTATGCAAGCAATGGACAATGACGGATGTGGACGTCGCACAAAGTTAGGCAACCGCTCTATGTCTGTAAGTAATAATCATGTTTCCCATAGTGAATCTTGTATATTGAAAATACTTGTTGCTATTGTATTACGTAGGTATATAATTCATCGTTTGAATTTCTCGCATAATTTTGAGTATGTTGTGCTAAATTATTACCGACCCTTACGAGTACTACTAATATTTCGATTGAGGCATTACCGACATATTAGGATTTTTTTGTAAGTATCTCTATAAAAAAGGGAAATATGTTTATTTAGTACATTCATACGGGTATAATGACGTTATTAATGGCATATTATTTCACGTCCAAGTCTTACACTGGCTAAATGTAATAATATTCTGATTTTGAGGCCTATTATTTTAATGCAAATTATAAGTTCGTAGAGCTTGCTTATGGCAAAGCTTTCGCAAAAGGAAACCTTACCAACATCCGTTAGAACTTTATTATGTAACGTTTTGTAAGCTTACCTGTCTCCTTATTTCTACTGTCCCTAAAGCTAACAAGTAAAGGAAACTATTGACAGTTCTAACAAAATGAACTGAATTCTAAATCGATGAAGACTAAAAATTAATTAAGTTGCAACCGATACAGTGATCACGTCATTTGTTCGAAAGATCTCGTTATCACGAAAATCACAAGACGTTATACATTTAATACTTAAGATGGGTACTGCACTAGATTATAAAGCTTGCCTTAACATGATCTTTTTTAAGTATTATCATTTTTTACAAAAGTTATGACTAAATTTTAACCGTCCCGGAATATAATACTATTAGAGTTACTTAAATTTCTAAACGCTAATGTAAAATTACACAGCAATAAAAAATACAAAAACGTGCTATTCCATCGATTTAAAATTCGAATTCGAAATGTTTAAAGAAAATCAGGACGCGGCCAGTATATATCGCGCGTGTGCGTCGGCGCACGGGGCCCGGGTAGCGAGGCGAGACGGTCGCGGTTCACGGCGCGCCCTTTGTTCCGCGCCGGAGTCCGGCGCGCTGTACGCCTAGCGGATCACGGCGATTCGTTCACGAGTTTAAATATTGCGAACTGACAATGGGACACGTTGATACCCTCAATAACGCAAATTCTCGAGTAATTCACGAGATGAACGAAGAATTACTGAGATTTTATTCGTTTTTGAGAATAATACGTGCTCACACTCAGGCTAAAATTTAAACCTTTTAGACATGTTTGAAATTTACTTAAGTAGGTAAATTTTGACTTATTGTCAACCAGAGCCTCACACTCTGTGGTTGACAACACACCTGCAAAATATCTATGACAACAGACAAAGGACGTCTCTTACCATCATGAAATAATGGAAAAAAGAGGAATAAACGAAAAAATCATTAAATGAAATAAAAAATGTATTATTCACTTATGCATACAGATAATCCGTATACCGAACTGTTCAATATCGTTTAAAGAAGTTATCGGAACTCGAACATCGTCTAATTAAGCATAAAAACGCTGGATAACGACGCCCGAATGGATTCCGCTGGAATAAAATTTATCTTTCAACAATAAATTTGAACGTTAAGTGAACAAAAGGCGTAAAGTTACATCCGTAATAGAGACTTTGTCTAATCGAATCGTGAGTCGACGCATTAAAATGCATATAATTTGCTCATTTTATTTTGTTCGTTGGTTAGGCAATATCCTTTTCCACTTATCTCAGATATTGTTGGCTTTAATTAAATTCAGAATGTAACCCCGTTCGAAACATTTATCGGGTCTTCATAAAATATAATTAATTCGGTCGTTTCAATGCGTTTGATTCTCCCTGAATCTTCTCGTAGGGCTCTACAGATGGGATATAGACACAATTGTCATATAATACTATAACTCAGTTTCATAAAAATTGTCTGATGTTGAAACTAATAAATGTTATTTCACCTATTCCCCATATGCAGAATGATGTAGCACGTAATGGATCAGGAAAATCAAAATTTTTGTATTCAATATTGCCTTTCAAGCATTTCTGAACGTGCAGAGCTAAACCACCAATTCAATCACAAAATATCTGAGAAGAAGAGGAAAGAAAATCTTCAGTTTTATTGCATATAATTTACAATGAAAATATCAGAAACCTGGGGGCGTAAGGTCACAGACGGGCGGACATTTCCACAAATTAACTTAAATAAATCGTTTAAAATTACAAAAGGCCCCTTTAATTTGGCGTTTTATTGTATTTTTTTAAAGTTACGTTCGCTCTATGTCTTGTGGTGGTCACTAATTTTATTACATAGTTTATCACAATATTCAGGCTTCACTCACCATACTCTTCGAGGATCGTCAGTATACAAATTATTTTCATAGTTACTTCTAAGTAGATAATGCCATTCGTAAGCCACGGCTATCGGTTCGATTGGGTAATTTAACAATAGAGCGCTTGTACGGGGACGATGGACATATGAGTAGGTACTTTAGGGGTCATCAGTCGCACGATTGTGCGGCCATATACCACCGTGCGATTGCGTATTCCTTCGGTTTATTTCTATACCCATACACATATTATGTCTGTGGACAACAATGACTTTTTATGGAACCATTAGAGTAAATTATCTCGTTCAGTGTGTTTACAAATCAAGTATTGTAACAACAACTTATGATAGTTAGAGCAGTTTTGGTATTTGGCGAAATTATACCTCCGCCTCACAAATGTTCGAGAACTCTATATACATATAATTATGTTATCAGGGATGACGCTTGCGGTATTGATAAATTTGTTCAATGGAAATTACTGTGACTGTAAAGAATATAAACATCGATTTGTTTTGGAAGTTTCCTCGATACACTTGATATCGTCAGAGACGGAGCATTAGACGATTTTAAGGATAATATCATGAAGATTATGACATATTCTCCCCGCTCGCTTCTCGTTCGGATGAATAACCGACCAAGGAGTCTGTATGTGCCATAGCCGGCAGCTCCAATTGTCACTCGGTAAACGACCCGTGTCAATTAGATTTGCCGCGGTGGCACGCCGCCCGTTCTCATACGACGCCTCTCCTTTGTCCGACCGCGCAGTTTGTATCATTATAAACGTATCAGAGTAAACGTTAGCCAGTTTTTTCGTCGGCATCCACGCTCAAAGTACAGCAGATCTACTCCGAAAAACGAAAATCGACAGCACTGCAATCGTTTCGTCCAAACGCTTTGTAAAGTTTCGTATACTCAAAATATCTTACGCCCATACGTTTTCAAAAATAAAGTTTGTAGACATGTATGTCTACTTTATTTTTTGGATAGGTTTAAAGTATCCATAGGAAGTGAAGATTTTAACTTGTTTCTTAAAGAGAGAAATAAAGGTCTATCTTCCTAGAAGAATCTCTTAGATTAAATATAATAGATTTCCGCAAACTGAAGAATTAAATGCAATTTCTGTTATCTGAGTGCAGGTGTAAATAAAACGATATATGTCAAACTCCGAAAATCGACGTAGTAAGCGGGTTCGAAAGGTTATGGAATAGTATTATCACAAAGCGAAAGATTTCAATTTTAATGGAGCCAAATTCAACGACTATTGCGGGTTTCTTTACTATTGTACGTATCAAATTTATACTGCACGCGACACCGAAGTTAGACACTCTATTTAAAATTTCAATAGTGCTTGAAAATCCCTCAAAAAGCGGCGAAGACATTCCGCTAACGAGAGGAAATAATAACGTCGTGAAAGAACAAAGGCGCGTAAACAAATCACTTGGTCGCTGTCGAGACGACAAATGGAAGTATTTTAATGAAGCAGAAGCGGCTAATTACGGCGCCTTACAGTCGAAACCGCGTAAAAAGCTCTCGAGGGATCCGGAATCGACCCCGCGACCTGACGTAACTTATCCCGTCAAACGGGCACGCTTGGTGTTCACGGGCAACTAACTCCGAAGGCATTCTCTCATGTTTTTGTTTTGTTTGCTAAAGGAATTGTTAAAATAACTTCCGGCCGTAAATGTATCTTCATTGAAATATAATTAATTTACGCAGCTATATTTAATCTATGAATATTCAGAAATAGACACTTTTAAGTATGCATTCATATGTATTGCTGATTATCATGATTAAATACGTAACATACATTGAACAAAAAAATTGGTCATGAACAGTTGTAACAAGCACTAGATGTTGTAGTTGGTATACTAGTATATATCTCATGATGCTTTATTTCATAAATGAACGTATTGGTTACCGTATTTTAATCAGAAATTCTTTTTAATTTAGTGCATTTTCATCATAATAATGTACAGATTATACATTTTCAGCTTTAGCGGTCTACGTCCACTAATCTAAAACTATTGTTACTAACAATATTGTTAATCTTTTCGTAATGCCATTAGTCCGCGAAACCAACAACACAACCCTGGGACCAAAATAACTATACATTGTCTTGACGACTAAAAGCTAAAAGTGTCATCGGATAAAAACGGAGGAAAGAAATATCAACAGTCGCGTTTGCGATGCATCTTGTCAATGTATGATGTTTTCGATTTCATCAAAGATTGTATGTACAAAGCTTTGTCGGGAGCTTGTCAGTTCCTACGGGCTTATCGATGTCGCGTTGCGTGCGGGCGTTGGCGAACAATCGAGTGGTGCAGAGTAGCGAGGCGTCGAGATGCGGTGATCGTGGAGCAGAGGCAGCGCGGCGGGGGGCGTTCGAGCGGGCGGGGCGCGCCAATCGAGCGCAGCCACGCCTCGCGCCGGGTCGAAAGGTCGAGCGACCATTGGCGCGAAACGGTGCCCGCTCCGCGTTTCTCGCTGCAGCCGCGGTCTTCGAGCATAGACAAGAAATTTCCTTTTGGCGCGAAGACGAGATCGCGCTCCACAGACAAGCGACAGATCGCTGGCAGTATAACTTATCTAATGAAAAGTTGGGTGAGGAATATTTTAGAGAACGATGGGATTTTATGCAAGGTATTGCGATTTAAGATTTACAGGAGTATTTTGTATGTAATAAAACATCCAACGCACAGACTAGTCAGAGGTCGCTGTAAAACTTATTTATCGCCAAGTATTACGTTGCAAGACATAGGCATGGTTCTTTAACTAATAGTTTTATATATTAGGTGGGGGAAAAACTATTTTCGCAAATAGTATGTATGTACTTATATTATAATCTCTTTGGCTATACCATTTGTATCTGGCTGGTTTTAGTATCATTAAAAAGATTAAATTTAAAAAAAGATAATTCCAAATTCAAGTTAGGAAAATGTGTGATTTTCAATTATTGTTCTTACTGTTAAGATGAGTGACTCTAATGAATAAATTCGATACATTTTTAAATTTTACTACAAAAAAAGCAACGCAAGCCGCGAAAAAAAATTGTCATAGGTATGGCCCTAGTGTCTGTGAGTGTAGCACAAATTCGGTTTAAGCGTTTTCAATTCGAAAATTTTGATGTGAAAGATGCATCTCGCTCTGGGCGCTCTGTTACGGATATAAATACGGACGGATGCCTTTTTTGAAAAAGTGGAGCAAGATCGGCATATCAGTAGTTTCGATGTAGGTGAAGAACTGGGAATTGACCACAAAAGAGTTTTGGCGCATTTGAAAAAAAGCTGGGTACACAAAAAAGCTCGATATTTGGGTGCTTCAGGAGCTCACTGAAAGAAACCAAATGAACCGTGTTCTCATTTGTGATTCTTTATTACGACGTAATGAAACCGAACCATTTTTGAAAAACCTGATAACTGGTGATGAAAAGTGGATCACTTACGACAAGGACGTATAAAAAAGGTCGTGGTCAAAGGCTGGTCAGGCTTCACAGACTCTGGCAAAACCCGGGTTATCTCGCAATAAGGTAATGATGTGTGTATGGTGGGATTGGAAGGGCATTATCCATCATGAGCTGTTACCGCATATTAGGACCATCGATCCTGAACTCTACTGCGAGCAACTGATGAGATTAAAGCAAGAATTTGAGAGAAAGCGGCCGAAATTAATCAACAGAAGGGGTGTGGTTTTTCATCATGATAACGGCTGACCTCACACATCTTTAGCCACTCAGCAAAAATTAAAAGAGATTGGCTGGGAGGTGTTAATGCATCCGCCGTATAGTCCTGACCTTGCACCTTCAGATTTCCACTTGTTTCGGTATCTTCAGAATTCTTTAGGCAGTGTCAGGTTAACATCACGAGTGCCAAAACCACTTGTCGCGGTTTTTTTATCAGAAACCTCAGTATATAGAATATTTATAGCAATGAGATCATGTCCCTACCTACAAGACGGCAGAAAATTATCGAACAAAATGGCACCTACATACTTTAGTTAAATGTAAATAAACTTTATCAAAAAATGTTTTTAATTTTCAAATAAAATGCGAAGAAACACATCTGTTGCAACATTGGCTTAGTATTCTATACAATGTAACTGAGTTTGTTTAAATTAGGCTTATGGTTAAAACGAATTGCTAATGGAATTATGAAGTTTGACATTTATCACATTATCCTTGACAAAATGTGAATAGTATGTGTGTATATATGAAAATATGTAGGTATGTATAAAACTGGGGCTTCTATTTTAAAGGCGGCAAAGTAAAATGGTGTTGATCGGATCATCGCCGTCCATGGTCATCCACAAACGCTTGAGGTGTAGTGCTTTGGCGATGTATAAGTGGGTACGCTCCTGTTTCTCACTTACCGCGCGTTAGAAAAGTATAAAATACTTCAACTTATCGCCAGTCATCTATATTAATAGCTATTGAATGAATGATGAATGTTATATGCACATGATGAAGGTCATATGCAAGCAATATATTGTTATGACTAAACGGGGGTTCCCAACTATATTAGATTACTTCTACTAGATATAGATTACACTTCTATGGGGAAAAAGCAAAACAAATTTGCCGTGCCATCAATACAAACAAATTATACTACTTTTATAATCAGGTCAACAGTTCTCTGTTTGTTTTAAATAATACTTTATTTTATCTTTGTTCATTATATAAGATACCAAGTTATCATTTAAGGGATACATCGTTCTTATTATGGAGTATATCAATAGTGCTGTCAATGCCACAGAATGAGAAACAGGATAATTATTTGAATAAACTTATAAAATAATTTTCAGGGTCCATAAAAAAAATCGTTGTTCTTTATAGTGCAAGACTCAAAACGCAAAAACCCAAAATTAAAATAAAATTTAATAGCACCGGAAACTGAATGCAAATTTTTTAATAACGACAAAATTGTAATGGTACTACAATAAATAAAAAAGAGTAAATTATGCATTTCCTGTTAGCGAGCTTTTTAAGTATTTGACTGATAAACCTTAAATAAAATAAAAAATTGTGTAAATAACTTTTTGGTGTAATATATAAAATTAAATTAATAAATAAGTAATGATTTGTTCACTTTAATTCTTTTTTTTTATGTGAAAAGTTGCCAAACGAGCAGACGGTTCACCTGATCGTAAGTGAATACCGCCGCCCCCGCCATCTGCTACACCCGAGGTTTACAGATCCGTTGACAACCTTTTGAAAATTGGGTATTCTTCAAGAAATATTATTTGTGGGCCATGCACAGATTCCGGTATGGCATAATTTGGGATTCTCATCAGGGCAAGTACCACGACCTTTCAGAAAACTTGAAGAATTAGAGTTTTGCTTTAATCCATGAACTGCGGAGCATCACTTTACACCCAAGGCAGACTGCTCGATGACAACTTTTCGTAAAAAAATCTTTTCATACAAGCTTACAGGTGAATACATTATACCCTTAAAATAATGGATTGAGGATTAGCACTAAACGAATACTATAGTCATTTGTATTATTTTACACAATATAGTTTTAAGGAATTTATTCCAGGGGGGGGGGGGGGTTCTCCTTTGTAAGCACTAAGCTGAATTCAACACATGTGACAGTAACCCTAGCCCCGGCACCAGCTGCGACTCGATTCTGTCGCCGTTTTTTACTTGTTCTTTTCGGTGAAACCCGAGACCCGCGAAATGTTCCTCTCGCCTTAATTTTTTTTTAATAAGCACGCGCTAAGCTTGCCATATGGCATGTCGTGCTGCGATGTCGACGAAGGAATATCGACACAGTCGTTCGACATAGTCTGGTGAAATAATTATTCATAATAATTTACATACACTTATTCACAGCACGTAAGTTGTTATAGTTATAAAATTATTCGCTATATAAAACTCGTAGAGTATCAGCTTTCAAAGTTCATTGCCAGCGAAAAAAAATTATCACTCATTTTCGTCACCACCACATTAAAACCATGTCAGTACTTTACATATCATATTACACCAGATTTTAGCGCAAAAAACATGCTGAATATCATAACGGACATGAGCGACCATCATCGATAGAAGTACGAAATAAGATGTCATTACAGCGTTTTAAGCATATATACATTAAAACAAGTTGAAGGGCGTAACTAAATCAAGTAAAACCATTTCAGTTACGTATTAAAATGTTGGCTGAATGAGACTGCCGCACTGCGCGCCAATTCTGGAGCGGAAGTCGAAATATGATTTTTTTAAAATTAGAAGCGATGGCGGCCGCAGGTGAGCACCCGATGACAGCCCGACGCACGGGCGTTCGCTTGACATAATGTTCTCTCTAAATAATTAAATATTTAAATAGCGAAGCCAATTATATATTGTGTTTGTAGAGACATTTGTAATTACGTAGTGTTGTTTTTAATAGACTTCTTGAGATGTGCTTTGTGTCTATAACTTACTTACATTAAGAGTCACAATAGTTAATTGTGCTATCAAAAGATGTGGAAATATTATATAAGATATTGTTCTAAGAATAGATAACGTTACTGAGAAGGTTCATGACAGGCAGGCGGTCATTGTACAGGTAATAATAAAGATGACAGTAAAGGTAAGTTATTTTTATCTAATAAAAATAGAACCTTGTATATTTGTTCACTAATGTTCAACATTTATAATTTTATCAAGGCATATTATGTTGATTTGTTGACGATAGACGCCATTGTTGCACACAAGATAACTGAGCCCGGAAAATTATAAATATCAAGGAGTCGTGGGAAAATGACATCTACGTATTAAATAAGAGGAAATCGCTGTCAACGGTGAGAATTTAAATCAAATTCAAAATTGGAGCATCTTTCGACAGGAAATGTTAAATATATTAACGTCCACAAGACACCGTGCTTTGTCACGCGGACATTCTCTATCATGCCCAATTATTATTTTTAATTTTTAAACGATGCACGAAATTTATTTCACGTTTAATTCGCGGAAATAAATATGTTCACCATTTTCGTTATTGATTGTTTCCTTTGGTGAATAATAATCTTGTTTATATTTTTTTTATTTTAAACTCTATTTTGTGCATGAACAGTTGACTACAAACATGAAGAACATGATTTATGGCCCATTCAACAAATCAGTTTTTGTAAAAACGTTTTATTTCAGGTTCATGTCCTATTTTGATGATATTCTTGTTTTTAATTTATTATAAATTTATATTTTGTAATTATAGAGATATATTTTTAGAGCTTTATCTGTACAGTATATCCTGCTCTGCAGTATAACTTCTTCTTCTTCCGTCCCTGATCCCGTTATTTGGGGTCGGGTCTCCTCACTTTCCTGCGCCAAGACGGTCTTGGGTTGTCGCTTCAGGCACTTGGTTTTTTTTTAGGTCTCTTGCAATACTGGACCACCAGGTCAATGGCGGGCGGCCTCTGCCTCTCTTTGATTCGGGCAGATTTAAGGCTAATCGTACGACGTGATCTTCGCTGCGTCTTTTGATGTGTCCATACCATCTTAGGCGATTTTCTGTCATTTTGTCTGTGATTGGTGCGACCCTAAACCTCCCACGTACATGTTCATTATGGACTATGTATTCATACTGTAACGACCTATTAATAATAATAAATATTATTATTAATTAGTCATAATAAAGATCAATTAAGATGAAAATAAAACGTTTAAGAACGTTTA